CAGTCTTGGCCTGGGTTCTACATAGAAAACCCTTTGAACATTGATGGAACTAGGATGTGACTGATGTATCATAGAAAGGGGAGGTTTACAACTCTGCTGCTCTGGGGTAGGAGCTCTTAAAAGCATAGAGGGTGAAGACAAAAAATCAGAGTGTGGATCACCCTAGCCTAGCGGCTTTCGTAGCTTTTCAGTATTCTCGCACATTACATAGTCTTCTTATACCCCCCTGGCACTCTGTGGTCTAGCTATGCTGCTTCACTTTCTGTTCCTCGCACACGATGTTCCATCTCCTATCTCTGTTTCTGTGCACTGGCTACACATTTGTGCCTCCAATATGTAAAACGTACTTTCGGCTGGCCCCCATGTCTTAGAATCCCTGGTTTTAACACTCAGCTCAAACATCACCTACTACAGGAGGCCTTTCCTAATCCCTCAGCTGCTAATGCCTTGTCTTCTAAAGTCACCTTCCATCTACTCCAAATATATCTTGTGTGTATTGATTTCTGGGCATATACTCTTCCCCATCAGAATGCAAACTCATTGAGGGCAGGGACTATTTTCTCTTATCTTCAGCGCTTAGCACACAGCCTACAATATATTAAGCACTTAATAAAAGATTGTAGATTGATTACACAATTGGTGACTAGATTGAATGCAGGAAGATAAAGTCAGTAGTCTTAATAGAAGTTGAATATTCACTCAGCTCTCAACTATCCATGCCAATGGACTGGAACAATGGCAAGGTAAATCCATAATAGAAGATAATAGAAGCCATTTGTATTTCAAATTCAATAAGAGTTGTTTTTCTTAAGAGGTTTTCCTCTCCTGATTATGTTTTCTGTAGGCTAATGTTCAAATTTATTTGCATTCCATTGGGAATCCAAGAACAGTGATAAGAAAATACCTGATTATTGATAGAGGAAGGCTGAGTATAACTACAACAGCAAAATTCAGTTGTTATTCTGTACTTTGGTAACCAAAGGATTTTAATTAGCCTTTCCTTCTAATTCCCTTTTTGCCCTGTCGATGGGCATGTGGGTGGTGGCTGATATATTTGCTAATAGGCAATTGCTTGTACACTTAGTACTCTCAACAGTTATCTTTCATTTTGCCTAGTTTTAGGGAGAGCCATAGAAAGAAGTAGAGGGAGTTGGAGTGGAAGGCATTGATTTAATGGAGATGGGCCGATTCCATTTTCATGGACTTAATAACAATTTTTGTTGGCTTAATGCTTTTTGAAAAGTATTTGTCAGCCTGCCCTAAAACATGTATAATTGAGCTCTTTGGTAATATAACTCAATTTTGTTTGTATAATAGACACAGATAAAAGTTGCATAATTAATCTTACCACTGGTTATTTTTCATTGCTGTTGTCTTTATCTCTGATTGGGGAACCCCCAAAATTCATCCCTTTATACAGCAAGGTTTTTGTTTGTTTTGTTTTGGTTTGGTTTTTTTTTGCTGTCAACCTCTTTGGTTTATAAACCCATTAGTGTAATCTTTGGGTCAAAGTATATGAACGGTGTAATCACTTTCCCTGCCCAATCTCCAGTTGTTTTCCCTTGAAGGCAGACCATATCATAGTACTATCTGCAGTGGCTTAACATGCCTGTGTTCTCACAGCCCTGTCCAAGTTGAACTTTTTCCATCTTTGCCACTTTGATGCATGGGAAGTGATATGGCAGAGGTGGGCTACTTTGATTATTAACAGTTCTGATTATTCTCTAATTATTAACAGTTTGGAGTATTTCTGCCTCTTCCCTGACCCCCCCAATGGATGCTGTTAATTTTAGTTTTTTTTTTAGAAAATTTGTCTGTTGGAGAATGGTCCCAACCTTATTTCTGTTAACTTTTACTTACATGACCTTTTAAAAAGCCTTTCCTTCTTAGACCAGAGAAGAAAGAAAGTTTACGTTTCCATCTCTATTTCCCACTTTTATCTTTCACTGCTCTTCACACATACTGGTTGATTTCAGAAAATAATAGCTCACTCTCCCTGCTTTACCTTCCTTTTAGTCTTCTAGTCTTTCTATTTTTGTCTTTTCCTTTTCTGAGGGATATTGCCCTGTCAAATTCCTAACTTTGGTTCTTTTAGTGATCCTGATTGAAGCTAGGATGTCCAAACACCAGGCTTAACAGCTCATAGAGTGCTAACATCTGTTCATTGATTCCTCATTAATTATGCCACAGTCTTGTTTAGGAGTGAGAGTGATTCAGTGGAAAAAAAACCCTCAGTAGATTTAGATGAAGGAAACATGGCTTCCAATTATGGCTTTGCCATTGATTACTTGGGTGATTTGAGCAAATCATTTAACCTCAGTTATTTCATCTGTAAAAAGAAGGGGCTGAACTAGCCTCTAAATCTATAATCCTTGGAATTTGTTATGTCTGTGCTGTTAGGGCAATTTTCATATTAAAGGCCCTGTCCAGCTCTGGATTTTTTGGAAAGAAAGAAAAAAAAATTATCAGCATTAGTAAAGAACCATCTTTTCTTGTGATGTATTCTCAGCTTTTTAGGATTGTCAGTTTGTGGTATACATTGATTTTTTTTTTTGCCTTTCAGTGACCCAGTATCATTTCATCTTTCACATCCTGTTGCTATTATTGAATGCTATTGTATAATGTAAATTGATGCTTTTCAATATATTAATTGTTTCTTCCTGGCTGCTTTTAATGGTCTCTTTCTCCACACTGAAACTTTGGAACATGGTAAATATATTTCTGGGTATCTCAAATTTAGAGTTACTCTTTGTTGGTATCTTATGGACTCATCTTACGGACTCTCTCTCTCTCTCTCTCTGTATGTATGTATGTATCACCACCAGCCTCCACCCTCACTATTTTCAATACATCTGAGCAGTGTTACTGTATGATTTTGACGTAACATCAGACTTTGTTTCTTCATATTTTGCCAGGAGACTAGTAATTTTCTTATTGTCTTGTCAAGCTTTGTTCTCTGTCTCTATAGTTTTGATTTGTAGAGATCTGATATCCCATTTCATTTGCAAACTAAAAAATTGCTTAGTTACGTATTCTTCTATGCCAGCATTTTTGTATTTTTTAATGGACTCTGTTCATTACATAGCACACTGATTTATTAAGATGTTCCATTCTCTTTTTAAGCTATTTATTATAATTTTCTTCTTAAATATTTCCACTGATAGTCTTATTTTCATTCTTATAGATACAAGATCTTCCTTTGTATCTCTTATTGAGATTCTAATGTACCCTTGGTATTGTTGCAGTGTATCCATTCTCTGATCTGGGGGTCTAATTATGATTGTCCAATCTCATTTTTTGCCATATTTCTCTTCACTTTCTTTTACCATTTAGTATTCACTCACATTATTGAGGCCTCCTTTCTGCTTACATATTTCATCAGCCTTTCAGTTATTCAATTTTCAATTTTCTTCTCTCCTTTCTTCATAACTTGCCCTTAATTTTAAGTAGGATATTTCTTCTCTTCTTCCTTCTCTCCCTTCCTTCTTCTTCTTTCTTCTTCAGGAGTCATTCAGAAAGCATGATTAGAATTCCTGAAAATAACCCCATTTCCCTAAGTTCTTAAGAAGATTTGGTCTTCAGAGGACTTACCCAGGACAAATTATGCTATTTGCTTGTTTGATTTAGGGTGTACTGAAATAACAAGTCCACTGGTCTAGCAGGCTGATTAGAAAATAGTGTTGAAAATAAAGTGGGCTTGTTCTGTTAGGAAAAAAAAAGAAACAAAGAAATATTGATGGGGCTTTGGGTCATAGTGCAATAGGCGAATGAAGTTTTAATATATTTATTTATCTTGTTTGTCACTGGCAGCTGTCTCTTATTTTTCTTTGTGGTTTGATATAATCATATATTCCCTGTCCTCCCTCAAAGCTCAGAAGCTCCTTGAGGTCAGAAGCTGGGAGGATGCTTTTTGTTTTCTTGGGAAGGCTACTTCTTATAATGGACAGAGTGCCAGATTTGGAGTCAGGAAGGCATTGAAACTGAATATTGTCTCAGATACTATGTGTGATCCTGGGTAAGTCATTTAAGTATGAAGACCTTTAGTTTTATCACTTGTAAAATAGAGATCACACTACTTCCAGTGACTATTTTGCAGGTTGTGGTGAGGAAAGTGCTTAACATCCTTAAAGCAATATAAATGTGAGTTATTGGTAGGAAAAAGAGGTCCTTACACATAGTGAGTATTCAGTAAGTGTTGATAATGCTAGCTTCCTCTAGTTTTCTGATCTGGGGATTTTAGTAGACCACAAGCTCAGCAGTGTAATACTGTCAGTAGTACAATGTCACAGCCCAAAGAACTAATAGTCTTGGGATGAATTTTGAGAAATTTCTCTAGGGATACTTTCAGCTACCAGGAATAAGGAGGTGATAGTCCTGCTATAGGAAAGGCCCTCTAAGCTCTCCCTTCTAACTCTCAGATTCTAGGATTCCGTGACTCATTTTAGATGTAAGTCAGATGCGTCTTGGGAAGTAGAGGCAGTCTGACCTTCTCAAAGTCACAGAGGTGGAAAGAGGCCAGGACTTGGCATCAGGCAAATTGTGTTTGAATCTGAAATATTGTCTTTATTTATTATGTGACCTTGGGCAAGTCACATCAATGCTCAGAGCCTCAGTTTCTTTGTCTGTAAAATAAAGCCAATAATCACACTCTCCCTGCCACTGGATTGTACTGAAGAAAGTGCTTTGCTAGAAAGAAGTCTTTTTTGTTTGTTTGTTTGTTTGTTTTTTGGCTAAGCAATGGGGTTAAGTGACTTGCCCAGGGTCACACAGCTGGTAAGTGTTATGTGTCTGAGGCTGGATTTGAACTCAGGTCCTCCTGAATCCAGGGCCGGTGCTCTATCCACTGTGCCACCTAGCTGCTCCAAGAAGTCTTTTTTTGTGGTGTGTTTCCAGTGGCAATCACATGTTTGGCGAATTCTTGAGAACTAATCTTTAAATCGATACTGGCCATTGGCATTTTCTATACTCACTGGGTCTCTTGGCTTCTTTTTTCTTCATAGGTTGCGGTCTTTGGTAAAACAACTAGAAAGAGGAGAGGCTTCTGTAGTCGACCTCAAGAAAAATTTGGAACATGCAGCGTCGGTCCTTGAATCTGTCTACATCGATGAAACAAGGTAAGAAGATGCTAACCTGTCCTAGGGAGATTTTGGTAGGTTGATTGGGATCTTTCTGGGGAGTTTTTATATTGTAAACCATGGAAAAGAGGCTTGGGCTTGGAGTCTGGAAGAGCTGGGTTCAAATCCTACTTTAGTGCTTACTGTCTGTGTGACCAGGAGCAGGGCCCTTTATTTCAACCTGGGTTTCCTCATCTGTAAAATGGGAATAGTAGCTGTAGTACCTGCCTTACAGGGCTGTTAGAGGCAAGCAAGAAGAGAGGAGCTCACAACTTGAGAGGAAAGGTGATCCCGCTCCAAGGATGGCATGTGCCCACTGGGTTCAGCTCCCCCTTGCCACCTTGTATCCATCCCAGCTTCTATATGTTTGCCCAAGATGAGACAAACACATTAGCAGAAAGGAAGAGACAATGTTGGTGAAGTGCTCTGCAACCTCTAAGAATCTTGAATACATTGTATACTTTGGTGACTATTACCTGACTTATTTCAGATGGCCCTGGGAAGCAATTTCACCTCTAGTAGACTTCATTCTTTAACTTGGAAATGTTGCTCATTCAGAAAGGTGAAGATCTTCTTTTTGCACTGTCTCTGAGAAAAGTGGATGCTGAGAACATTGGGCATGGAAGCAAGACTGAATGGGGGGTGTGCTTACCCGCCGGGGGGGAGCGAGCTGCTTCCCACCCCTCTAGAAGTCTCGATTTCCTTAGAAACAGTGCAATTACAGTGTAAGCAGAGACTGGCCTTTGCCAGCCTCATGCTTTGCATTTCTATACTAAATGCAAATCATTCTAATGTGGGCATCAAAGCCATTCTGACCACTGTATGTAATTGAGAGGGATAAAATCGCATTTCTTTTCAAATGTGCTGGTTAAGACTTTTGCTTAATTTTGCTGTCCCTCCCCAATTAATCTAGACTAGTGAGGTTTATATAGCTACCAGATGCAAATCTGAATGAATTTTGCTTTTACTTAAGGCTCGTGTGGTTTATGGCCCCCTTGCACACGGGTAACTCCAGTTGAAAGGAATTTGATGTCATAGTTGAGTCCAATTCAGTTCAGTTCCATAAGCATTTATTAAACGCCTGGCATGTGTCTGGTGTTAGGCAGCATGCAGTGGTGGATAGGGCATTAGACTTGGCTGGGAGACCTTGGCTTCAATTTCTGCCTCAAATACTCATTAGTCACCACACCTCTCTGGGCCTCAGTTTCCTCAACTGCAAAATGGGAATGAGATGAGGTTTGGATTCAATGAATGCCAAGGTTCCTTCTAGTTCTTAACCTTTGATCCTATGAAAAGATACAGGATAGATCGTGGGCCTTTGATCTCATTGCTATAGGGAAATCTCAGGTGAGAAACTCCGTCATCCAAAGAAGGTGTGTGCTTTGGTACCTCCTCTGCAACTTTTAGTCGTAGAGCATCCTCAGCACTTCAGGGACCTCTAAGACATGGTCCTATGATGTAAGGACAAAAACAAGCTAATACCTGCCCTCAATGTGCTTACACTCTGTAAGCTGGAGCCAGACAAGAAAATGCAAAATACGTGCAATGAAGAGAACACTGGCTCTGGGGTCAGACAATCTGGGTTCGAAGCCCGATGCTGATGATTGCTTCCTTTGTGACTTAGGGCAGGTCCCTTAAGCTCCCTGGGCCTCAGTTTCCTTATCAGTAAAATGACAAGTCACTTTCCCTGTCTGGGTCTCTGTTTCTTCATCTGTACAAGGAGCACATTGGTCTAGATGAGCTTTGCAGGCTCTTTTAGCCCTAGATCTATGATCCTGTGAGTCTCTGACCTCTCTGACTTGGTTTTATCATCTGTAGAGTGAGTGGGTTGGGGTGGGTGACCTTTAGGCACCCTGCTGGCTCTAGATCTGTGCACCTGTAGTCCGCTTCTTGTTCCTTTTCCCTTCCCCTAGGCGACTCCTGGATACAGAAGATGAGCTCAGTGACATCCAGTCAGATGCCGTGCCCTCCGAGGTCCGGGACTGGCTGGCCTCCACCTTTACCAGGCAGATGGGGATGATGCTGAGACGGAGCGAGGAGAAGCCCCGATTCAAAAGCATTGTTCACGCTGTTCAGGCTGGAATCTTTGTGGAGAGGTAAATAGTGCAACAGAATAGAGTTCCCAGGGTAAAAGATTCCGTTCGATCAGGAGTCATACAAATGTGTCATCTTTAATTGACTCCTGTCCATAGAACCTATTTGGGCCTCTTGATGGTATCCATCCCTTGGAGTCCTTTGAATTACAAAAAAAAGTTCAATCTGAATCGAGTTCTTAATTTTCAAGCAAGAAGAGGGGAACTCACAACCTGAGAGGAAAGGTGATCCTGCTTCAGGGATGGCATGTGGCCACCAGATTTAGCTCCCCCTCACCCACTTCTATCCATCCCAACTTCTATGTTTGCCCAAGAGTAGAAAAGCTCATTAACAGAAAGAAAAATTAGGTATTTTAGCCCATTACGTCTTAAAGAATCTGGATAAGTGATGAGTATATGAAAAATGGGGAAGAGACCAAGATGGGAAAGCCATAATGACCCTTGATTCAAGCAAAATGGTACCCACGTGAGGTTTGATATGCATAGGGAACCCAAATCTTTTAAAAGATGTTTTCCTTTTTGATTTTGAGCCCTTTACAATGAAAAGTGCCAAAGCCTTACCTGTCCCATATTCTTTGCTGAACCATGTGCTATTTTGAAATACCATATTCACTTTATTGACACTTAGCTCACTGAGGGGGGAATTTTTAACTTGGTTCTTTGAGGGTTCTGGAGAACACTAATTTCCAAATTGTTCTCCTACTGGAGCTTTCCACTTGGAATGGCACACTGTGTGGCAGAATATCCATTATCTGTTACATTTAGTATCTGGCAGAGCCATAAAACTAAGGTGGAACAAATAAGGCTTTGTCCTTCCACCCTAAAAATTAAAGAGTCTACTTAAAGTACTTATAATCCTTCAATATCATAGTAATGAATTGGCTTAGCATGTAGGAAGAATCTTTGGTTGGACTGGACATCTACCAGGTGGAATGCTTTCTTCCTGTTAGCAAGCACCTTCTGGTTGAATACCTCCACAGTTTAGCTTGGTCCTGCTTCTTCTACCATCTCATTTCCCTTCATGGTACCCTGGGGTCTTTGTCTTTTCCCGTCATGAATGATACCTGAAGTCTTTTCCCCCTACCTTGACTGAATTTTTCATTTAAAATTGATTTGAGCGCATGTTTTATATAGATTTCCCCAGGCATCAAAATTGTAGTTACATCTCCAGCATCTGGCAGGAGAGGCTGTTAAACATTTTAATTTCTATCATAGAACATGCAGATTGATTTTGTTTTTCTGCTCCATGATCTAGGTGTTTGGGTCTGCTTTAATTTCCACTGATCTTGAAATGTTGGCCAGCTGGCTACATATGATAATGAGAGTAAAAGAAATAGAAATGACCTTTGGGTTCTGGAGGCTACCGAGTAATTTCCAGAAGCTCCTCAGTGCATCAAGTTTGTCATCCTTCAGGCAGAGCACTCGGGCCCGTGGGGTCTGTTTTCTCCCCTTTGTGTGATATGACATTGCTTCTTTTATTTTTCCTGACTTTGCTAGAATGTACAGACGGACATCAAACATGGTTGGATTAAGCTACCCACCCGCTGTGATTGAAGCATTAAAGGTAATTTCAGGGAGCAGATAATTTAGTCCCTGACGCTATCTTTCAACAGTGTCCTTACTTAATATGAGATGTGCTTTCACACTATCTTTCTCAAGTCTTTCTTGGTTTTCTAATTCTCTTCTTTCTACTTTTTTCTATCCCTTCACTGGATCTCCTTACCCAGCCTTCTGCTTTCTTTCATCTCTCAATGGTTTTTCAATTCTCATCTTTTTTCCTTTCGGGGGGGGGATGGGCAATCAGGATACCCTATAGTGGACTAGTCCTATGCCTTCAAAGTTGAGTCATACTGGAGATCATAAGAGGGAGTTTCTCCTTTGGCAATTTCTTATGTGGATAAAATTAAAGGTCTGGACCCCAAATGCCTTAGGCCAGGGTCTCTTAACCCAAGGTCCTTGAATTTATTTTTAAAGTATTTTAATAGCTGTATTTTAACATGACTGGTTTTCCTTGCAATCCTTGTTGTTTTATTTTATATATCTAAGTATATTATTTGAATAAGGGGCTCACAGACTTCACTAGACTGAGGGATCTGTGACCCAAGAAAGGCTAAGAGCCCCTGTCCTAAAAAGTTAAAATACTGAGATTTCTCTATGAGGGGTGGGTAAGTGACTGCCCAGCTTTTGGTATATTTTTTTCATTCCACAAACATTTATTATTATTATTAATTAAGTGCTCATTACATTTAAGATATTGGGGTTACAAAGATAAATGATAAGTCAGGATTCCCATTCCCATAGGATCCTAGGATCACAGATTTAGACTTGGAAGAAATCTAAGAGGCCAAGCCCAAACCCCCCCCCCCTTTACAGATGAGGAAACCAAAGCCCAGGGTCACAATGCTCATGTCAGAGGCCAAATTTTGAACTTGGGTCCTCTTCCTCCTCAGCTAAAGTTCTTTGCCCTGTGCTAGGGAGGATAGCATCATGTGGTACTTAGTAGTAGGGGCAGTGGTGGTGATAATGGCAGTGCCACAAGGATCTTTTCTCTTCCTGGGTAGTTGGATATCAAGGGAGGCAGCCTAGTGGGTAGAGCCCTGGACTTAAAGCCAGGAAATCTTGGGTTCACATCCTGCCTCTGCTTCTTCTTTGCTTATAAATCTCTTCATCTTTCTGGCCCTCAGCTTTCCCATCTGTAAAATGAGGCTAAGGATAGTCACTCCCTCTTGCAGAATTGTTGTGAGAAGCACACTTAGTTATAGAGATGCCAGTGAGTATCAGCTCACTGGCCAAGACAGGAAGAATCTGTAATTCTTAGGCCCAGGACCCCACAGGCTTTGAGCAGAAAAAAGGGGGCTGGCAAATCAGCTGTGGAATCCTGAGCCACCATTTCTGGGGGACAAAAGTCACAGTAAAAGGAGGAGGGGCTACAGGGAGCAGGCACTGGAAGACAGAAAGAGGCTGAAGGATGCTAAGAACATTTTCTCTGTCTCCTTTTCCCTTTTGCAGGATGTGGACAAGTGGTCCTTTGATGTCTTCACACTGAATGATGCCAGTGGAGATCATGCCTTGAAATTCATTTTCTATGAATTACTCACCCGCTATGATCTGATCAGCCGCTTCAAGGTGAGTGAGTGTGCTGTGGGCTTCTCATTTCTTCCCCTTGTTTTATCCTTCAGAAGCATGTGGAAAAGAAGTCCTCATTAGGGCCTTAATGACTTTGTTTGGAATGCCCTTCATCATAACCTGGCCTCACAAATGAGCATCCCTGGGTTAGGCACTAGATTCCCTCTTCTGAAATTATCAATATCATATGGTTAATCACATTTTACACTAATTCTTCTTATCTGCACCAACATCCTAACTTGCCTTGGGAGAGTGCTAATAGGCAAGGCTACTTAGGCATTAGGAAAACCACGGTTAGTTCTTTTCAGAAGTAAAATCTCTCATGTTCAGGCTTTGGCAGAGTATAGCTGATGGGGATGGGCCATCAACAACCAGTCCACTGAGCACAGAGCGCCAGAACCACAGGGATGTCTATTAGGAAGCATTCCAGATGAGTGTTGGGTGAAACCAAGGAAAATAGTTTCTGCTTTGGGCTTTGGTAGGGTGGCTGAACTGACCCAATATTTACACTACCTCCTCACCAACATATATCTATTTCTCTTTCTCCTTCTCCCTCTCCCTTTCCCTCTGCCTCCCTCTCCCTCTCTTTTCTTCCCCTTCCTCTCTTCCTCTTCCCTTTCTCCCTCTCTTCACTCTTCCTTCCTCTTTTATGCCCTTTCTCCCCTTCCTTTCTCTCCTTCTCCTTTCTTCCTTTCTCTTCTCCCCCTCTCTCCTTCTGTTTCCTCTTTTCTTCCTCTCCCCTTACCTCTCTCTCTGTTTCTGCCTCTGTCTTTATGTTTCTCTGTCTTTGCCTCTGTTTCTGTCTGTCTCTCTCTCTGTCTATCTTTGTATCCCTTTGCCTGACTGAAGTACATCTAGACTTAAGGGCTTAAAAGTTAGCCCTTTGGTGGCAGAGGCCGGGGCCACAGGAATGAATCCCTGGCCAGTGCCCTTCCAAGCATACAAAAGTATCTTCCAAAGACCACCTAGGAGCTGTAAGCAAAATTCCCCTCGATCCTTTACCAGGCCAGAGAATCACTTTTCCACTTTGACTCTGGCCAAGCAAAAACCTTTTCTTCTGTCTTGTGAAATCCACAGCCTGCCTCCCCCTTTCCCCAAGATGAATGCTAATGAAAAGAAGACAGCAAAGTATCTCAGGGATGAACTGTCCCTTTCACATTAAAGGTTGATACTGGAAAGAGCAGTGAGAGATTTTCTCATGGGAGGTATTATAGTCAACTTGAAGGAAAAAACTTGAAGGAAAAATACTGTCAGACATTTCAGGAGGGGCAGTCTGGGTCACTTGGCCAAATTGAAACTTTCCTTTCTCCTCGCTCCCTCCCCTGAACCTGTGGACATAATTGGCAGAGGGCCATGATTGAGAACCATCTCTAAGCCTTGCCTTCCCTCACTTCCTCTCCCTGGGCCTCTGGTTCCTAGTGTCCAGGAATCTCCTAGCTCCAACATCTCAGAAGTCCTGGAGTGTCTCCCTTTGGTCAGTTCTGATGGGACCAGAATGTCACAGAATCAAAAAGGAGCCCAGTGTTTCTTGAGATCAACGTAAATCCAAGTAGAAGGGCCTTGTACGGCACTGCCTTCACCTCTCCTCCATGCTCTTGGTCCATGGTATCAAACTCAAACTGAAATAGGAGGCTACTAACCCACACATACAAGTCCCTGTAGGCCTTACATGGACTTGGAAAACACATATTAACATTATCTATGTCCTATTGTATTTTTATTTATTTTGTTAATATTTCCCAATTACATTTTAATCTGGTTCTCCGACTCAGCCCATTTAGCAGCATTGGGCATTTCTGCTCTAGGGAAAGATGTCAGGAGAACCAAGTTCTCAGTGAGGCAGCTCCTTCCACTTTGGTGCATCTCAGATGGTTAGGAAGTGTCTCCTGACATCAAGCTCCAAATTCCCTACTCGGGAATTGTCTCCCCCATAGCTCCTAGATGTGATCTCTTGGGCCAGCCAGATCAATTAAAAACTTCCCTGGTACTTGGAGACAACCTTGCGTCTTCTGGGATTTTCTTCTTCTCTCTCATTCTTTTCTTCTATACCTCAGTCATTTCCAAGGTCCCTTTATCAGCTGGCTTCTCCTCTTCTAGACACACTCCAGCTCAGTTTGTGGGCTCCCTAACATAGTGCTGTGAGATGTTGTACTATGGTGGAAGCCATGATGGCTCTGGAGATGGAGGACCTAGATTCAAATCATGACTTTGCTGATAGAGCAACAAGAAAATGAGGCAGCTGGGCTAGAGTGAGGTGCAGTAGGGGTGTAAGTAAGGTGTGGAGTGCAGAGGAATATAGGGCCTGGACATGGAATCATGAAGATCTGGATGTGAATCCTGCCTCAGATACTTATTAGATGTGAGGCCCTGGGCAGGCCACTTGACCTTTCCCTGCCTCAATTTCCTCATCTGTAAAATGAGAGGCTTTGGTTTGGATTGGAAGTGCCTTCTAGCTCTAAATTTCTGGCTGTAAGATCCTATGAACTGAACATAGTCCTCTAGATGTGAGCCAAGTAATGAGATCATAGCAGGAGACGCCATGCTGGACCTGATACTGTTGGTTGTTGGAGCCTGGGGACACGTCTGGTTTGTGGTCTCTGTGCCAAACGGTTCACCTGTGTGAATCTGCTACAGTCAGTCCCCAACCACTCTGGTCTTGGCTCGTGGACTGCTGGCTAGCTGCGCCTTTCCCAACCTGGACTTCGGAAGTTGACATTTGGAATTTGAAATTAGGACCTCCAATTTATCCCAATTTGATGTCTTCTCATTAGATCAGACTCGATGTTTCAGACCATAGATGGAGGGTGTCCCCAGAGTCTTAGGGTGATTTTAAGCTGCTGAAGACTTTGGGGACACCATGCACGTATGTGTATGTGTATCTGAACATGTCAGCAGCTGAGTGGTGCCATCGTGCATAGAGCGCTGGGCCTGAAGCCAGGAAAACTCATCTTCTCGAGTTCAAATCTGGCCTCAGACACTTACTAGCGGTGTGACTTTGGGCGAGTCATTTGATCCCATTTGCCTCAGTTTCCTCATCTGTAAAATGAGCCGGAGAAGGAAATGGAAAAGCCATTCCAATATCTTTGGCGAGAAAACCCCACATGGGGTCACGAAGAGTTGGACACAACTGAAATAGCTGAGTCACAAATATAAATGTGCGTCTATAAATATGAATTGTGAATGTGTGTGCCTATGTGTATGTGTATGTGAATGTGAATGTGCACGAATGTGCGTGTGCATGGGTATGGCAATGAATTTTTCAGTGATATTGACCTTCGTCTCAGTCATAGAGAAGTGGCCATCCATGGTGGATTAATGCACCAACCTCTTAATTGATTATTCAGTCGATTAATCAGCACTCATGAGGCACTCCCAATATTCCAGCCCCAGGAAGCACTGATTGTTGAATTATTGGAATATATGAATGCAGCAGATTTGTGAGAAAGGAAAGGAAAACCACCCTCAGGCTATGCAGAGTGCATTCTCCCAAGGTTACCCATTGCTCTGGTTAAAGACCTCAGTTGGCCTCTGGGCCACTGTCCTCCAGTGACAAACAAGGGAAGCCTACTCTGTTCCATGGCTTGGCCCTTTAAGTGTTGATCTCTTCTGGATCTTCACCAGGCTAAGGGACCTCCCATCCCTCACTGTCCAGTTGTGAGTTTCAGGCACTTGGTGGCTAGAGTCCAGAGCTGTTCAGCCACTCGATCAGACTCAGGCTGTTGGGGTCTTTGCCATTCCTCCCAGGGCAAAGCCCCTGCAGTGATGCTGGAGCTTGAGATGTCCCCAATCTCCTTTCTCCGACGCCACCATTAGACTTCCCCCAAGGATCAGCGTGGCTGCCTCACGTGGCTGCCACCTTCTTCTTCCAGATTCCCATTTCTGCTCTTGTCTCATTTGTGGAAGCACTGGAGGTGGGTTACAGCAAACACAAGAACCCCTACCACAACCTGATGCACGCGGCGGATGTCACTCAGACCGTCCACTACCTCCTCTACAAGACAGGGGTCGCGGTGAGTGCCCAGGGAGAAGCCTGGGGCCCTTCAGGCACTGTGAATGTTCTGTTTGGTCATATAGTGCTGGGGAGCCCAGTCACTGTGTGCTGCGCTTCTGGGTGACCAAGAGAGTCACTGCCCTGTGTGGAAGAGAAAGTGATGAGCAAGGAATCCAGGGTCCTGGAACCTAGGCTTGAGTCCTAGCTCAGCCTGAGCCCTCGGGTGACCTTGGGTGGGTCACTGCCACTCCAAGGCCTCAGCTTCCTCCTCTTTGAGATCAGGGGGTCGGGCTCGATGGTTTCTGGATGTGTGGGGGGTCTTTTTGTTTCTTGCCTCATATGTGCCCCTCTCTTCCCCTTCTCAGAATTCCTCTGGGGTTTTGTGGGAATGGAGTAAAGGCTGTGACAACCTCACTATGGGCTGTTGGGTAGAACAGAAGTGCCTTGAGAGGAAGAACGTGTGTTGCATGTGTGTGTGTGTGTGTGTGTGTGTGTATGTGTGTGTGTGTATGTGTGTGTTCCTCCAATGACTAGCACACAGCTCTGCTTCATACACAAATATGGCAAGAATATGTGTTTGTCCATGTGGGGACTCCTGTTAATAATCAAGCAAGTGTGCATTTATTAATCACCTGCTGCATGTCAGGGAATGGGCTAGGAAGTAGAAAGATGAGAATGAAGCCATCCCCACCCTCGGCTGTGACTACGTAGACAATATGGCCCCTTCCCAGTTTAACTCAATGACCCTGTGCTGTCAGTTCCCTTCTCTGGTCCTCAGTTTACTCATTTGTAAACTGAGAAGGCTCCCCCAGATGACCGCTACGGTCCCTGCAGCACAAAGTTCTTCTAGTTTCGGATTCTGTCCTTTTGGAGACCTGCCCTAGAAGTCTGCTTCGGGGACAGCTGTAAGGCTGCCCAAGAACTGGGGAGGGCTGTGCAGCAGCCTAGGAAGGTCCATCGGAGGAAAGGACCAGCTTCTGATTGCTTCCTTCTCTCCTCCACAGAACTGGCTGACGGAGCTGGAGATCTTTGCTATCATCTTCTCGGCAGCCATCCATGATTATGAGCACACCGGAACCACCAACAACTTCCACATTCAGACTCGGTGAGTGAAGCGGGAGGAGAGTGCCTGTGGATATGGAGATGCCTGTGTGCGGAGTGAGAGTGTGTGTGGAGGGGGGGTGAAGAGAGAGAGAGGGAGAGAGGGAGAGAGGGAGAGGAAGACAGAGAGCGAGAATGAGAGAGAGAGAGAGGGAGAGACAGAGAGAGAGAGAGAGAAAGAGAGAGGAGAGGGAGGGGGGGAGAGGGAGAGACAGAGACACAGCAAGAGAGAGTGAGAGAGGGAGAAACAGAAAGAGAGAGAGAGAGACAGCAAGAGAGAGAGAGAGACAGAGACTGAGAGAGACAGAGAGAGAGAAGAGAGAATGAGAGAGAGGAGAAAGAGAGACAAAGAGAAAGAGAGAGACAGAGAGACAGCAAGAGAGAGCAAGAGAGGCAGAGACAGAGAGAGAGAGACAGAGAGACAGACAGAAAGGCACAGAGAGAGAGAATGAGAGAGAGAGGAGAGAGAAAGAGAGACAGAGACAGAGAGAGACAGAGAGAGCGACAGGCAGAGAGAGACAGAGACAGAGAGAAAGAGAGAGAGAGAGACCAAGACACAGAAAGAGAGACAAAGAGAGATAGAGACAGAGACATAGCAAGAGAGAGCGAGAGAGGCAGAGACAGAGAGAAAGAGAGACAGAGAGAGACAGAGAGAGAGGGGAGAGAAAAAGAGAGAGAAAGAGAGAGAGACAGATAGAGACAGAGAGAATGGTGTAGAAGACAAGGGAGGGTTAGGGAGGGGAATGAGGTTTTAGTGGGTCTAGATCAGAGGTTTTTTAACAACTGCCTGGGTCCTGGACCCCTCTGGCAGTCTGGGGAACCTATGGACCCCTTTTCAGAATGTTTTTAAATTAGTAAAATTATATGTATATGTATATGTATATGTATATGTATATGTATATGTATATGTATATGTATATGTATATGTATATGTATATGTAAATGTATATGTATGTTTATATGTATATATAGAATTATAAAGAAAATCAATTATATTGAAATATAGTTATTGATATGTATATGTATATATGAATGTGTATGTTTAAGATAAGCAGGCAGGAAGACCTGGATTCAAATCCTGCTTCAGTCATTTATGTTACCCTAAGCTGTCTAGATGGTGTAGTAGATAAAGTGCTGGACCTGGAGTCAGGAGGACCTGAATTCAAATCCTCCTTCAGGCACTTACTGGCTCTGTGACTCTGGGCAAGTCATTTAATCTCTTCCAGCTTCAATTTCCTCATCTGTAAAATGGGAACAACAGTAGACCTGCCTGCCAGAGTTGTCCTGAAGATCAGATGAGGTAACGCATGCCGAGGTTTGCACACCTTGCGATGCAGCTATGACTATGATTAATAATTATTAGACAAGCCACTTAATCTCTCTCCCTTCAGTTTCCCCTTCTATAAAATGAGATGACTCCATGCTTTAAGGTCCCTTCCTGTGCCAAATCTCCAATCCTATGAACTTTAAAGATGTGTGTCGTTCAGTTGTTTCAGATGTGTCTGACTGTTTGTGACCCCTTTTGGGGGTTTTCTTGGTTTTGCCATTTCCTTTTCCAGCTCATTTTACAGATGAGGAAGCTGAGGCAAACAGGATTCAGTGACTTGCTCAGGGTCACACAGTCAGTAAGTGTCTGGAGCCAGATTTGAACTCATGAAGAGGAGTCTTTCTGATTCCAGGTCTGGCAACTCTATCCACTGAACCACTCAGCTGCCCAAAGATGTCTGTAGGCCTGCTGTTCATTGGTGTTTATTATTGTAAACTCCTGTAGTTATCAGTGGCATAAAAATGCCATTAAAACACAGAGAAGAATTAGGTGCTGGTTTCAGATAGAATGTGACTGAAGAGAAGAAGACATAGAAAAAAAAAAAGAGATGAAACAGGAACCTTTCTGGGAAGAGACTGAGAGGGGAACTCAGGACCAGAAGGGTCCCATGGCAGCTACACATTCAGGGCCCCAGCAAGCCACACCCAGGGCTTTCTGATAAAACATAATGGCCTTGAAGGACACAGCCCCCAGCTCCCCAGGCCCAATTGTGGAGCCATAAAAAGAAGCCAAAGTGAATTTAGCCAACAGCTTTGATTGAGCCTAGGTTTTGCCAACCCAGAAAAAAGGATGGCTTTTTAAGGGTTTTCACTATGCTTGAGAAAATTCTTTAACTTTCTGCTTTGAATTCATCCATGCCCCTGATTTGACCCAGAGACAAGAAAACTTAGCACAAAATCACCCAAAGACCATAAAAATGCTAAGACTGTAATCTCCAATTGTGGTAGTGAACCCTGAACGGCTAGGGCGGTGGAGGAGAAATGGAGTGATTTAAAATCCCATTTCCAGCCCCAGGTGGGGGAGAGACCCATTCAATGTACTCAGGTTGAGGGTGGCTGTAGAGAGGCTAGGTGCCTTATCCCCTGTCAACTGGAGCTGAAGCGGGGATTTTCTTTGGCAAAATTGTAAGCCCAGGTCAGTTTCCTCAGCAGGTTTCCAGACTTCCTCTGCCCACCGGAGTACTTATGGGGAATTCAGACCAATTTCAATATTACTCTAAGTAAAGTCTAGCTGGAAAGGGAAATTTACTACCAAAAAAATCACATAATGCAAACCAAATGTAAATGGTATTACAGTCTCAGAGAACAGAAAAGCAGCCACACCCTCTGTCTAAAAGGACAACAGGGTTTCTCAAGAGCTTCAAAGCATGCAGGGAAGACAGACCCACAGAAAAAGGATGCAGGGAAGCAAGCCTGGTCTTGGCTTTGATCTGGAGGATGAAGATGCTCATGTAGTAACAAGCATGTATATGGCACCTACTGTATGCCAGACATTGTACTAAGCACTTTACAAATGTCTCACTTGAGCCTCACAGCAACCATGTGGGGGAGTTGCTGTTATTATCCTCATTTTACAGTTCAGGAAACTGAAGCAAGCAGTTGTTAATTGACTTGCCTAAGGTTACACAGCTTGTATAAGTGTCTGAGGCTGGATTTGAACTCAGGTCTTCCTGACCTTCAAGGTCATCCAGTCCAGAGGTTCTCAAACTTTTTGGTCTCAGGACCGCTTTATACTCATAAAAGTGGAGGATCTGAGGGGCAGCTAGATGGCACAGTGGATAGAACACTGGCCCTGTAGTCAGGAGGACCTGAGTTCAAATGTGGCCTCAGACAAATGACACTTACTAGCTGTGTGACCTAGGGTGAGTCACTTATCCCCATTGCTTAGTCAAAAAAAAAAAAGAATGAAATTCTGAGAAATGGAAACAAATTTAAAAAAGGGGGGGCAGCTGGGTGGTGCAGTGGATAGAGCACCAGCCCTGAAATCAGGACAACCTGAGTTCAAATCGGACCTCAGACCAAACACTTGACACTTACTAGCTGTGTGGCCCTGGGCAAGTCACTTAACCCCAATTGCCTAAAACAAAAACCAAAACAAACAAACAAAAAAAGTTGAGGATCTCCTCCAGGAGCTTCTGTTCATCTTTTTTAATTAATTAATTTTTTTTTAGTTTTTAACATTTGCATCCATAGGCTTTTGAGTTTAAAATTTTCTCCTCCTCTGTCTTCTCCCCATTCCCCAAGGCAGTGTGCAATCTGATATGGACTCTAGATCTACATTCACAGTAAGCCGGTTTTCGTATTAGTCACGTTGTAAAGAATTAGAGCCAAGAACCTCTGTTTACGTGGCTATTTGCTGTTGTTTAATCACTTGAGTCATATCTCTTGGTGACCCCATTTGGGGTTTTCTTAGCAAACATACTGGAGCGGTTGGCCACATCCTTCTCCAGTTCATTTGACAGATGAGGAAACTGAAGCAAAGAAGGTTAAGTGTCTTGCCCAGGGTCACACAACTTGTAAGTGTCTGGGGCCACGTTTGAGCTCAAGAAGATAAATCTTCCTGATTTTAAGCCCAGCGCTCTGTCCACGGTGCCATCCAGCTGCTCTTACGGGTAATATCTATATTTAATTTATCATTAATTAGCATATTAGAAATTAAAACATCTTAGTATTATTATAAAAATTGTTTTGACCTCACAGACCCCCTAAAAGGATCTCAGGAACCTTAAAGAGTCCACAGACCACTTTAACAACTGCAGATCTGGTACACGACCCTAATTCTTATTGGATGAGGAAACTGAGATTTATAGAAGTCACTAGCTCTTGGCAACACAAGTAGAGTTGACAGTATTGGGATTGGAACCCAGGGCCTCTGACTCCAACCCAGTATGCTTTTCCTCCTCCTGTCCAGACCACACGGCCATCATAAATCCCACACTGACGGGCTTGGATCGCGTCCGTGGCAGCGTCGACTATTGATCTTTAATTTCCAGTTCTCTCTTTTCTCCTTTGCATTAGCTGTTGAGTGGGAGGGGGCATGTGCATTGGGAAAAGTAGTGATGAAGCAAGGAGAAATAAGGTATTCACTCCAGCACGGGAGACCTTTCCTGAAAAAAAAAAAAAAGAATCGTGGGAGTACAGATTAAGCAGGAGACCTTAGAGACCATGGGGTCCAGGGTGGCTAATGGGCCGCAGACCCAACAGTATGGTCCAGAAGCCTCAGAAAACGAACATGCTCTTAGATGATGCTAGAACGTCTGGAGTGGCATTCCCCCCGATCGTCTGAATCGGTTCCCACCTGCAGTCCTGGAGCATCGTAGGGTCATAGATTTAGAGCCAGGAGGGCCCTTGGGGCCCATCAGATCCAGCTTCCTAAATGAGGCACAGAGCGGCTCAGTCCTTTGCCCAGAGCCACTAAACTAGTAAGTATCTGAGGTAGAACGTGAACCTAACTTCCTGACGCCACGTCCGGCGCCCTACCCATTGGGCCGTACTGCTTCTCCACTCCCTGTGGTTGAGCATTTTGTTCATTTTTTGTCTCCAGCTCAGATCCGGCCATTCTGTACAATGACCGGTCTGTCCTCGAGAATCACCACATCAGCGCAGCCTATCGACTGCTCCAAGAAGATGAGGAAATGAATATTTTGTCCAACCTGTCGAAGGATGACTGGAGGTGAGAAGCAAAGAGGCCCAAAGGGCCGTATTTGGGAGAAGGAACAATGAGGCAGATAAGATGGCTGCTGTTGGAAAGATGTACTCTGCCTGCTTAATTGTTTATTTCTTATGTGTGTGTGTGTGTTTGGGTGTGTATGTGTGTTTGTGTGTGTGTATGTGTATGTGTATTTGTATGTGTGTGTGTGTGTGTGTGTGTGTGTGTGTGTGTGTGTGTTTCCTTAAGACAAATGCTTTACAAAAGGCACGTGTTATTTAATCACAATATACTAACTGGCTTGGTCACAAGCTTCTATTTTGTCATCTACCATTGTGACAGATCAGAAAATGGCATGAGAAATGTTTGAGGACAAACAATACGGTCATTTCTGGGTCCTCCGCATTTTGGCTTCCTGGCACAGAGCCTCCACTGAGGCTAGTCACTGCTCTGATGCCAAGAGAGCCTCCTCCCGCTGTCCAACAATGTCCAAAGAGCTTGCTTGGAAAACTTTTGTGTCGTGTTTAATGTCTGAGACTTAATTTGAGGAGACGGCAAATACTTTTTAGGCACCTACTATGTGCCTTGCTAAGCACTACAGCCACAAAGACAAAACGCAACCATCCCTTCCCTCAAGTTGCTTGCATTTTACTCAGGGGATACCCCACGGCCACTGGGGAGCAAATACAGTATAATGTGGGGAGACAGAGAGCACTACTAAGAGATGGAATTAATGAAGGCTTCCTGTAGGAAGTGAGGCCTGGACTGAACTTCGAGGAGGACACAGGATACAAGACACAGAGGCCAAGAGGTAGCACATTCCAGGCACGGGGGTAGGAGATGGCGTGCTGAGCTCGGACAACAACAGCCAGCCCAGTGTGGTGTGGGAAGGGCCATCCTGAGAAATAAGTATGGAAAGGAAGGCTGGGGTCAGATTGTGAAGGGTCAGTTATTTATAATTTGTCTTACAGGCAATAGGGAGCCATGGAAGATTTTTTCTTTTAAGAGGGGGAAGTGACATGGTCAAGCCTGTTCTTCAGGTAGATTACTTTGGCAGCTGTGTGGCAGACATGTAGGTAGAGGGGTGAGACTAGAAGCAGGGAGATCAATGAGGAGGCTGTTGTAAGAATCAGGAGGCCCTGAAGCAGGTGTGGCTGAGTTGAGAGAAGGCAGTTTATTTACCTTGTAAACTGAATAGAATATTTATACCACGCTTTTATGGGTAGCATCTATCTTCACAGCCCTCCCACACCCAACACCCTTGAAGGTTCCCTCTGTCTGGTGACTGACTGTACGTCTAGGAAATGATGTGTTTCAGCTGGATGCAACAATTTCTTCTCTTCTTAGCATCCTGCCCTTGGTTTCATTGGAAGTCGTTGTTCAGCTAGAAGAAATATGGTTTTATGAGAAGAAATGTGGTTTTAATTCCCTTTTCCCAGGGTGATTAAACGCTTCTGGGAAAAGCCATCTAAGGGATCCAGCTCACGTAAACAAATGTGTTTAGAGTTGTCCTTAGTGGAAACAGTGGCGTCAGACGCCAGCATCCATCAGTGCTTTCCACTTGGGTTGATGACCGGCAGGGTTAGTCTCCTCCTTCACCAGCACCTCATCCTTGGATCGTTCCTTCAAGCCCCACTCAGGTGCCACCTCCTGCAGGAAGCCTTTCTTGTTCTCCATTGTTATTGGTGCCCTTCCCCCTTGTCCTTCCTCCGCCCCAAATATTCCTGTATGTACTGATCTGTTTACAAGCTATGCCCTCCCAGGAGAATGGAGGCGCCTCTAGGCAGAGCTGTGTTTCCTTGGGTCTTTAGCCTGAAGGAGAGTTTGTGTGGCAGTCAGCCTCAAAGCTAGAAAGATTGAAGTCCAGCTGCTGCCTCTGAGACCTTCTGTCTACGTGACCCTGGGCCAGAGCTGTGGGCCACTTGTCACCAAGACAGCCCACTCCATCCACCCCCAAATTTACTTTTTATTTATGGCTCATATATTTTGTCTTGAGAGGCAAAGCTGTGGGGTGGAGGGTTGGCCTCAGAGCCAGGAAGACCTGAGTTTGAGTTCTGCCTTTCACACATATTCACCGTGTGATAGAAAGCAAGGTTTCCTGTAGGAACTGCCATGTGTACTGTGTGTGGAGGGGAGCTCAAGCTAAAAGAGGCTGAGGTGAGGAGGCAGAGCTCCACCTGTGGTGGGCCATGCCCTAGATAAAAGGGCAGAGGTGGGAGGTGGCAACAACAAGCTGGCTGGTTGGGGTGGAACAGAAGAGTGTGGCAAGTGTCAACGTCTCAGACACTTCTGTCGTGTCCCCACTGAGCTCTTGCTCTCCAACCATCCACTCTGCTGGAAACTTAAACTCCTCTTCTCCTTCTCCAGCTCTGACAGGTGAGCCTTGTGCCTTATCTGTCTAGGAACTGAACTCCTTCCTGCACAGTCTCACCACCATGCCTCCCTTTTCTAGCACCCATTTACGTGTTTGTCTTTTATTAGAATGTGAGGTAGGCAGCTTAGGGATAGAATGCCAGACCTAGAGTCAGGAAAACTCATCTTTGTGAGTTCAAATCCAGCCCCAGAAACATACTAACTGTGTGACCCTGGGCAAGTCACTTCTCCCTGTTTGCCTGAGTTTCCTCATCTGTAAGATCTGGAGAAAGAAATGGCAAACCACTCCAGTATCTTTGCCAAGAAGGGGTCATGAAGAGATGGACATGACTAGAAATGACTGAACAGCCTTAGAGTGTGAACTCCTTGAGGGCAGGGACTGCTTTGATTACTTTCTTATGTATCTCCAGAGTTATCACAATGCCTGGCCCAATGTAAATGCTTCATAAACACTTTATCTAGGCAACTCTCTGAGACAATAAGTTGCTAATCTTCACTGGTGGAGAGTGTCCTCATTTGCTAGATCTCTAAACTAGTGGAATTCTAGGACCAATTCTTATCCATCTCCTGGTCATTGAAAAGTACTCATTTCTAGGAGGCATCTGGGAAATGTGAAACTCTTCATTAGCTCAGTGCTGACCAAATGGGTCATAGGACCGTAGATTTAAGACTAGACAGGGCCTTCAAGGTTATCTAGACCAACCTTCTTCATTTTACATATGGGGAATCTGAGGCCTAGAGTGGTTTCAGTGAGCTGTCTGAGGTAGCAATATAGTCTTTATTGAAACCCAGGTCTTTGGACTCCAATTTCAAAGTGTTTCCATTATTCCACACTGCTGCCTCCTTCAAACAAGGAGCCTTTTCTGTTTCTAGATGAAAAAGTCTGATGAAAGAACTGATCTGAGCTGGAAAGAGCTTGTTTTGTGTTTACTGCTCAGCAGATGATTGGGCAGGTGATGGATGTTGGGTTGTGTGGATATTGGACATCTTCAGCTGCTCTACAAGTGTGTGAAGAGTATCAGGAGTTTCTTATGGCTGGTTCTTAGCTTTATCTCACAGCATAGTCTAAGCCCCAAAGTCCCCTACCTAATACTCACCCTGAGCCACATCCTCTCTGTGGCTCCTGCTCATGGGCTATGTTCACTTGTTTCAGGCCACCCACTGACTGTGTCTACTTAACATTAAGACAACTGGGAAACTAGAGAAGTAGATACATTGGGAACCAAAAAAGCTTATTGAATTAATAAACAAAATGAAAAGCTGGTTCTTTAAAAAGACTAAAAAATCAATTCGCCTTTAGTCAGCCTGATTAAAATGAGTGAGGGAAATCAAATGAAGAAGAGAAGAAACAAAACAACTTATCTGAAATAACCATATAAAATTATATGCCAGCAAAACTGAGAACATAAAAGAAAAGAATTATCTGTCTATCTATCTATCTATATCTATCTATCTATCTATCTATCTATCTATCTATTTATCTATCATCCAAACATACAGAGCCAAATTAATAGAACAGGAAATAGAGATTTTAAATAATACATTTCAGACACTTCAGCTATAAAGGGATTACCAAGGAGGGAGAAATACCTGCTTCACATGGATTTATAGGCACATTCTTTTAAACCTACGAAGACTATCTATAATGTCTGTACTACACAAACTATTTTTAAAAATGGAGCAAGAAAACAATCTGCACAACTCCTTTTTTGAGACAAATATAATCCTAATATTTAAAACAGGGAAGAATAAGGGAAGAGAACTAAAAATTGATGTCATTATTGAATATCAGTTTAAACATTACATATATATGCATGTACGTATGTATATATATATATCCACTATGATTAAGGTGCATTTATACCAGAGTTGCAAGGATTGCCTAATAGTAGAAATAAAATAATTATATTAATAACATTAAACCCCCAAATGCCTCAAATTGCATGTTTATAACATTTAATTCACAAAAAAGCTTTTGATAAAGTACAATACTCATTTATGGCATAAAATCTGCTGAGTGTAGCTTTGGAATAGATTGGCCATTTAAGAAAACATTATATAAAAAAGTATATTTCTAAAACACAAAGCTAGTATTATTTACAATAATAATTTGTAATTATCTGCAACACTAGAAGCTTTCCCAAGAAATATAACAGTAGAGCAAAGATGATTTCCTTGCCCCGGAGTTATTTGACAGCTCCAAAACGCTAGACATGATGGCAGAGAAGAGAAACAAACTAAGATGATAAACATAGGTAAATAAGAGACAAAACTGTCATTATTTCCTGATGATAGAGTCATTTACTTAGAAAATCTCAGAGAATAATCAAAATGATACAACTAATAGTGTCATCAAAGTAACAATAGACGATCTCTCCAAATCAAAAACATTTCTACATAGTGATAGCAAAATCCAAGAGGAAACAATAAAAAAGGGAGTGCCATTCAAAATAAGTGCAAAATGCATAAAATTCTGGGGAAGTGTCTATGAAAGCACACTCCAGACTTGGAAAGATAGAGTTTAAAAACAAAACAGAACGCTTCTAAAGAAATAAAGGACAACTTAAATAATTGGAGGGCATTCTGTGTTCATGGTTGGGCCTTGCTAATATAATAAAAACAATAATACTGCCTAAATTAATTTATGGATTTAGTAGCATGCCAATCAACATGCCAAGAGGGTATATAGGGTACTCAAGGAGGACTAGCATGTTTGGTATGAGGACTTGCCAAGTCCTTTTCAGGATCGCTTATCCACCTTCCTGCCCATCCTCCTGCTTCTTCTTTTCCTCTTGGCTGGACCCTGACCCTCTCCACCATGCCTACTACTATGGGAAGGATCTCAGATTCCTTACTGTACGCCAACCCTCAGTCCCACTTCCCCCTCCTTCTTGCCAGGGATAGGACTCTTCCATCATCTTCCCACCTTAATAGGTGGATGTAACTACTTATATCACTTGGGTGGACATGGAGTCACCAATTTCAGTCCTTCTGGTAAGGTGGAAGACCACCAGGTTTAGCCATCTGTCTTGATACCACACTCTCTAGACTTCCCCATCCTCAGACATTGCCATCTGATCTGAAGGCCCTATCATCTGTCCAGCAACTGCACCTTTAAGACTACCTGCCCCTTCCATCCCCTCTGAAACTTAATCTTCCTCTGTGCATTGTCTGTTCCAACTACAATGTGAGCTCATGAAGATCAGAGTGTATACTACTCTTCCATTGGTATCCTCAGTACTTAACATGATGATCGGTACATAGTAAATCCTTAGTAAATGATGTATTTGTGATTTTGTTCATTTAATAATCCAATACGCAGTAAAAATGAGAATGGAAATTACTTGAGGGAAGAAATCTCTATTTAATGAGAATTTCTGGGAAAACTGGAGGGCTTTCTGGTAGAAATTAGGTTTAGACCAAAACCTTATACTATATGTCAAAATAAGTCAAAATAGATGTGTGGCCTAAATATTAAAGGACATCCTTTAATAACCCCATTCTTCACACACACACAAATGGAAGTTATATATAAATAGAATTACAAAGTTTTATCTATCTATCTATCCATCCATCTAAAAATTACAAAATAGAATTACAAGCAGGCAATTTGCTTAGCTATGGCCAGGGGAGATTTCTTAACCAAAGATGAGATAGAAGCAACTACAAAAGATAGACTAGATAATTTCTGTTACATAGAATTTAGTTGATAAGAATATTCTTTATGCTTTTCTCAGGTTCTTTGGGGCTCTTTTCCTTTGTCCATTTATCTTCTGTCTAATCCTCCTTTTACCCTGACTCTGGCATTCTTACTAAATAATTCAGCCCTTTATCCTGATCATTCCTTCCACAAAGATACCGCTTGAATGGCTATAGAAGGATTAGATATGTCAGAAATAATTAGATGGGATTGTTCAGAATGGGGAAAAAATTCTTCTTTTCTCCTTTCCCCCCCTTCCCTCTTTCTCAATGGCATCTCCACTTCAGGGAATTCCGGACCTTGGTGATTGAGATGGTGATGGCCACAGATATGTCCTGTCATTTCCAACAGATCAAGGCCATGAAGACAGCATTGCAACAACCAGAAGCGTGAGTCACTTTATGAACCCATGAGCCACTGTGAAAGACAAGCTGAGGAGTGTCCTTGGCTCTGACATTGCCTGGCTCCCTTTGAAGGAGCTTCCTTAAGAGTCCAGGAAGACAGTTCTGTTCAGATAAATTAGCACTGTGGTGGTAGAGATCGGAATTGGCCACTTAAAAAAATCAGACTAACACAAGTACTACATAAGGAAGGCATTTCCCTAAAAAGAAAAGTTTGCAGTCAGCATTAGGCTAAACTGTCATGATTTCCAGGGTTTGCCCAATCCCAGAAGACAGAAGTATGGAGTATTGGGAGGCTGGTGACTATTGGTTTCCCTTTGCCTTGGGAATGACTAAATCAGCGCACAAAAGATGCAAAATCAAGTACTTGAGAAGATTGGTTTTTCCAGGGTGTCCGGTATGTTAGATCTACCAGGGCTTTGTGGATCCCATTCATGAGTTAAGGTCAGTCTCTTGACTTGACTGAGGCAGGGTGTGCGCACGTGTGTATTTTTTTAAGTACTTAAAACATGACGGAGACAGCTTGCCGTTAAGTGGTTGGTTCATTTGGGTTTGCAGAATTGACAAGCCGAAAGCCTTATCTTTGATGCTGCACACAGCTGACATCAGCCACCCAGCAAAAGCCTGGGACCTCCATCATCGCTGGACCATGTCGCTGCTGGAAGAATTCTTTAGACAGGTAACTGGGGCAATCACAAGGTCATACTGTGGCTTCACTTGTCGGGGCCCCATGTAGCAGGACAAGATTAGCCCCTGCTTTTAAACTGATGTTTTCTGGCTTTGCATATGTATGACCTGCTAAGAATATTCCCTGTGGATTAGAGCTGGGGAAAAGAATAACAGTATTTCTTGGGAGAAGATAAACAATTTCACAGCCTCTTAGGCCTCCTTCTTTTAGAGTTTCTGAACCTCGACCCACCCTGGGTTGTTGAAATAGTTAGAAAATGATTTTTTCATTTTCAAAAGCATTGTGACATGACCACCATTAGTCCAAGTATCATCCTAGCAGCAATTTTTGCTTCAATTTCTTAAAATTAGGATCATTGCTTTAGAGCTAGAAGTTAACCTCAGAGGTCATCTATCATTACTTCTTAAACTGTGAGTTGAGACCCCATATGGGGTCCCTGGAGGAATGGGGACCCACATGGGGTCTCGACCCACAGTTTAAGAAGTGCTGAAGGGGTCACGAGTTTAAAAAGTTTAAGAAGCCCTGATCTAACGTAAGCATCTCATTTTACAGATGAGCAAACTGAGGCCTGGAGAGGTTAGGTGATTTGTCGAAGGTAATAGAGATAGTAGGGATTAAAAGACAAGCAAACAAAAAACTCCAAACCAGAGCACAGCATACACTTTGACACTTGTTTACCATCTACTACAGAGGATTCTAAACATGAAAATAACACAACACACAAACTCGGCAGTATGACTTTTGGGGTTGTGACTCAAACTCGTTGGAGTCAAAAGGATCTGCCACATCTCAGCATGTGCCATTTGTCATTGGACATTCAATATCTCTCGGCATCAGTTACTTTGCTGCTGAATGTGGGGCGGTGGCATCAGAAGAGCTGAGTTCAAATCCCCACTCAGTCTTTAACTTAGTGTGTGTTTGTGGACAAGTGATTTCCCACATCTTTACTTCATCTAAAAATGAGTCCAGCTGACCTTTAAAGTCCCTTCTTTCTCCCAATCTGTGACTTATGGCACCGGCCTCATAGAGTTATTGTACAGTCAAATGAAATATTGCAAATATTGTGTTGGGAGATTGCTCCTGGTGTGAAGGATTCTGGTGCGGACCTCTCACATTTCTGGATTGCTGTCTCTGCTGTTGGAACTAGGGAATAGCAGTCTCTGGGATCCCTGAGGCATCCCAGCTCTTTCTCATCTCAGTGGTCTGCAGTTTGAAAATTCCCATTCCCGATCTGAATCTGTGGCTTCCTTGAAGTAGTGACATTCCTCCCATTCATATTCCTCCCACTATGCCAATCAGCCTTCTCTGCCACTCAACATCTTAGGGAGCTGCTTGGGGGCAGTGGGGTGGAGAGTGGTGATTTGCCTGCAGGGGTAAGGAACCTGCAGCCTCGAGGCTGCTTGTGGCCTTCTAGGTCCTCTGGTGTGGCCTTTTGACTGAGTCCGAGTTTAATAGAACAAATCCTTTCATGAAGGGGATTTGTTCTGCAAAGTCTGGATTTAGTCACAGTGCTGCGGTTGAGGACCTAGAGGGCCACATGTGGCCTGGAGGCTGCGGGTTCCTCACCCCTGCCCAGCCAGGATGGGTCCAAGCCAGGGTTCTGACAGATCCTTCTGACTGCAGGACTGACTGGCTCTCTTCACTGTACACTTTCCAGCCCCATGAGGAAGGTACAACAGGTGTTAAGTGTCTCTGAGGGCTAGGAGGCCGGTACTGTGGTGTACTCGGGTATGAGAGAGAGTCTTTCCTCATGCCCTAGACTGTGTGAGTCACTTTTATTTTCTTATACTTTTGGTATCTATGGTGGACTAAAGAGCAAACTCTGTTTTAATGTAGACACCATCTTATTGTTAAACACTCCCATTTTGTGGATGAAGAATCTGAGGCTCGTTGACATTGGAGTAAAGGTAGCATAATACAGTGTGGAAAGAACATGGTTTAAAGTCAGAGGGCCTGGGTTCAAATCTGGGTTTCACCACTTCCCATGACCTTGATCATCAAATCATTTCATCTCTCTAGGCCTCAGGCTCCTCATTTGTTAAAAGAGGGGGTGAGCCAGAAGGCTTCTAAAGTTTCCTTTACCACTAACTCTACCATCCTAGCTAGCCATGTGCCATCGTCTGCCTGACTCCAAGGCTGGCCTTCTATTGGCTATGCTGTGATTTCCTCCAGTTTAAAAAGCATTGCGACACATCTAATTCTTGATTTTTTTTTAATTGAATTTGATGCCGGCTAGGGGAGCTGGCTCCATTTTTTAGTAATCACTATTTGGTACATTATTTTTATTGGCAGCATTTTAAATGAGTTTCTGCTTTCCACAATAAAGGATCAATATACTACAGGCACAAAATTACTTCATATCCCAGCCATAGATTTGAAATTAGAAGGAAAAGTAAAAGCCCAAACATTATTGGGGTCATTAAACCTTTTAAAAGTGATTTCTGAATCTTGGGTTATGCACTGAAATTAGGGAATGCATTTAGCTTGTGTGACATAGTCCTTCCACATCTGACAGAGTATCTTACATCTTCTCATTTTAATAATTACATTTTCCAAGTTCCAAGCCATTGCCTCAGGGTGATTTTGGAATGAAATATGTTTTCAAAGGTTCAATTTAAGAATGCCTCAAAAGACTAAGCTGCCTTAATTAATATGCTGTTGGGTCCCCCCCCACCCAGCCGCATATGACAAAGAAAGTACAGATAAAGGGATGCTGAAATTTAGAAGCTGACCAATAGCTCTTGGAATCCTTCAGAGAGGAATATTGCTGAACCCAATGACTAGTGAACAAAAAGGCGGAGTTAAGCCAGGAGGCCCTGAGATGCTCTGCTTCCTCCACCTACCCCAGCTCTTCCTAGCCTGCTCTGCTGTACCATCTATTCTCTAGCTCTAGGCAGGCCCCTCCCAGCACTGACCTCAGAGCCTCCTGGGGTCTATGTTACCATATCACCCCCCGTAACCTGCGGGTGACTTCCCTGTCACTTGCCCAAGGCACAAAAATGACTAGTTATCACTCTGGGTGAGGCATCTCTTTGACAGTCGGGGGACCTTGGAAACATCTCTAGGCAAGCATCATGTAGCAGTGAAGTGAATAAGCATCACATTTTTATTTGTAAATAAAATAATAAAAATAAATGATAATCAAAAATATTCCATGTAAAGGGTAGGAAGACATAATAGATTGTGGGTTACCTGGGGAGTCAGCAAAGCTTGGGTCAGGTCCTGCCCCTGGCACTCTTAATGACCTTGGACAAGTCGTTTACACTGTCTGACCATGCAGGTTGGACCGTCTCACCCTGCCCCCTCTACTCAATATTTCAGTGGCTCCCTATTACCTCCTGAATCAAATGTGAATCCATTGGTTTGCAAAGCCTTTCCTAGCCTGCCTCCTTCCACAAACCCCTTGCCAGTCTTCTGCCACTGTACCCCCCCAGCATACTCCGGGATCCAATATTGACCTCCTTGATGTTCCTTGCATAGCATGCTCCATTTACTATCTCCAGGCCTTTCTACTGGCTGTCTCTTATCCTGGAATTCTGTCCGGCTTCCTCTCCTCCTCTTGTCTTCAAGGTCCTAACCTTCTATGGGAGGCCTTCCCCAACCCTTCTCGTGCTTCCCTCTGGTGATTATCCACCATCTGTCTGGTTTGTGCATCACTTTGGCATGTTGCCTCTCCCTTTAGACTGGGCACTCCTTTGGCCTTTCTTTGTATGCCCACAGCTTAGCACAGTGCCTGGCACTCACTGATTGGCAGTGCCCCGGGCAACTCATGAAGACCGGATGTCACAGGCACATTACCAATCTGCCTAGGGTCACCACGCCGGGATGTCAGTGGTGGAATTCGGCTCTTGGCCTTCGCAGCTCCTGGGGCAGCCACATATACTTTACTCTTCATTATCCCATGATCAGCATAAAATGAAAAGAAAATATCTCTGTTTACAGGCAGAATAGAGATTGGAAGATTCTACAGGCTAATGATAACAACAACAAAAAGCTGCCCATTAAAAAGAAAAAAGTTTGACCTGGTGTGTCCCAATAGCCTGTTTATACAGCCTGAGTTCTTTAACAGTGGCTCGTTTGTCTACCTTGCCACTGTAGTGTAGACATAGTCCAATAATCTGCCATTTCAGATAGGCACTGAATGTCACAACTTGCTAGGAGTTTAGGGATCATCTAATCTAATGCCTCCTTTTTTTTTTTTTCAGAGAAGGGGAATGACTCGATCAAGAAGGCTAGGCTTTAGTCTCCACATCTGGGGCTCTTTCTGCCCCCCCCCAGACACCTTCCCCCGGACATCCAAGCAGCTATCAGCATAGCGTGCTTGGAGACTTGAGACAGGGAAGGAAGCATTGTGTGCCCATGATGCACAAACACAATATAAGCAGCGCACTGAAGGAAGCTCAGCCTCCTGCTCCCGTTCCTGCAGCCCTCAAATGCACTTAAATCCCATTGTGCCCTCAGGGTTGAACTTCCAGATGGACCAAACCCTTTTCCTGCATTTCAGTGGAAGTGACAGAAATTGGTGCTTTTACTTTGTGGCTTTTTATTCTCCCAAGGGACAAGATGTAAAGAACGTGTAGTTTAGGGAGGAGGCCATCGTTTCTGGCTTTAATTATTATTCACTGACGTCTGGTACACCCTCCAGACAATCCCCCTTGGAAGGAGGCTGATGATAAGTAGGGACCAGGAGAATGAATGGGTGTGACAAAGTAGCTGCCCTGCAACAATGACAGAGGCGTCTGTTCTCAGATTGTGCAGCCTGAGGAAAACAGCCCAATAGGGTGGAGCCTTTAAAAGTCATAAAAAGAGCCAAACAGTCCCATGGGGGGCCCTATTCTAAATAAACTGTCAAAAACATAAACAGAGCTCCATCACTATGGGAAGGGTGGTCATCTTTGTTGTCCTACTTTCTCCTGGATTTAACTATTGATTATTTCTTTCAGGTCATGTTTGGTTTTAATCGTAGCTAGCCTTATTTCAGATTTGTACAGAATTTGGTTTATGCAAATGATCACATGCGAGGGTTTTTATGAATGAGATGCCTATGAAGTGACCTGGATTCTAGCGGCTCTGGAACCATTCACATACTGACTAACTTGAAATGACTTCACAAGCTCAGAGTTCCCTGGAGCTTTTCCTCCCTCCTTCCTGCCCCTCTCTCAGTCCCCACCGACCCCTCCAGGGTTTTCTATTTCCCCACTTGGAGATTACTGGGTGTACAGAGATTGCATCTGTCAGGGCTCCTCCCTCGTTGTCCCCAGAGTGCTGGCATTGTTCCTTGGGGAGGCTGCTGGGCCTAATGTGCTCTCCAGCTCATCCTGGTGCTACGCAGGCTGAGGGAAGTCCCTGTCCCCTCAGGCTGTTTCGTCTCTCTCGTACTTGTACTCGTTAAACTGACGTTCACTTCAGGCACATTCGCTCCTCAGTGGCTCCCCACCGCGACTTCCCCTCAAAATTCCTAAGATCTGTGTTCAGACATCCCTTAAAGTACAGGTGACGCGCACCCAACGACCCGTTGCTTTTTGGCCCAGTCATTTTGCTCTCTTACCATGTGCATTCATGACAGGCTTACACAAAGTCACTCATTGCGATTCTCTCTCAATCTCACACTACTATCCTTATTTTTTTTTTTGTTATAAGCTTAATAATAAGAGCCAGCAAAGATTTTTCCAATATTATTTCATTTGGTGCTTAAAACAACCCTGGTATGTAAGTGCTATTATCTCCCCTTATAAAGATGATGAAACTGAGGTAGGTAGAGGTTAAATTGACTTGTCCCAGGTCAAACAGCTAGTAAGCATCTGAGATTGGATTTGAACTCAAGCCTTTCTGACTCCAGGCCGGGCACTCTGCCCTGCCTAGCTGCCTTCGCAATCTTCAACTTGAGCAAACGTTTCAATGTATAAAGAACAAGAAAAGTGTATGTATGTATGTATGTATGTATGCATGTATGTACACACACACTCACTCTGTTTCTCTATCTCTCTTATCATATCTAGCCTCTGGAGTCCTCTTTATTGATGCGTGTTCCCCATCTCTCCTAGGAGACAGTGAGGTCCCTGCCAGGGAAGGGACCCTGGCTTATTCCTCATTGTTCTTTGAGCTTCTCTCTCTCTTTTAGCCTTCTGATGTTGCAGAGGGAGATTGTCCACTGCTGAGACTTAAGAATTCAGCAAGTCAGTCATGACTCAAAACAGCAGGCAAAGGAGGGCCATGTGCCATTACCCAGAGACCTTTCTCAGTCTCTTCCAGCTTCTAGGACCTTCGCTCTGTGATGGCATTTACACTGTGGATAGCTAGCTCTTTGTGTGTGGTCTCTCCCATTAGAATGTGAGCTCTCTGAAGGCGGAGGGAATGTTTTTGCCTTTCTTTGTATCCCCAGGGCTTAGCATAGTGCCTGCCAAATGGTGATCACTTCATGATTGCTTGCTGACTGATTGAGTGATGGTGGGAGCCCAGAATAGGAGGTGACAGCAACACAAGAAGGATGTTAGGGTAGCATTGGACCCCCAAATAGGGGGACAGCTGACACACCCCAAATAAGGGCACCCCCACACTCTTGAGCCTATGGCAGCAGGTGAAATTTCCTAAAAGGGCCAGGGAAAATTTCACATGATGAGCTAGGGGTCCAGCATGACCCGAGGGAAGATGGTGAGACCTCAACATTTCTGACTCAGGGTAATGGTCCCTAGCCCACGGGGCTGTGCTGTTCTTTTGAGCTGTCCAAGGTAGGCAGGTCCCTGAAGAATTCTTGGCTGATCTGTGGCTTATGTTGGAGGCACAATCACTGTAAGACAAGTGAGGTTCTTGTGTTCTAACAGCCTCCCTGTCCCTGGAGGGCATGATTAAACCATGAGGGGTCCTGGCCCCTTGGCTCTTTTTACATACATTAGCAGGGAATGGAAAACCCTATTACATTATGTAACTGAAATAATGAAGGCTGAGTCCAATGTCCTTGGGTGGTAGCTGCTAAGATATTGACGGTTGGCCAGGTCTGCCTCCTTCTAATCTGCTATGCCCTTCTCTTTTCCCAGGGTGACAGGGAAGCTGAGCTCGGCCTTCCTTTCTCACCTCTGTGTGACCGCAAGTCGACCATGGTGGCTCAGTCTCAAGTAGGTGGGTATCATCCATCCTGTCCCTTGAAATTGATACCCTACTAGCACAAGGAAGTGAGTCCTTTCTCCCAAAGTCCATTTACGAGAAAAGAAAATGTAGACAAGGAAGGAGAGTGTGGCTTTGCCATGACTAGGTTGTTTCTGAGTTGATTCTGATTTCAAACAGAATCATTCAGTGTCAGAGCTAGAAGGGACCTTAGAGTCCTTCTAGGTCAGAAACCCCAACCTCAGGCACTTACTAGCTGTGTCACTCTGGGCAGGTCATCAGCTTGTTCACATGTAAAAGAGGGATAAATGGCAGTATCAGTCTCAGAGTGTTGTAAGGGAGGATCAAATGAGATAATGAATTAAAGAAGTTACCTATCATTATCATAAGGAGACTGAAGCACAGAGCAGGGGAATGGCTTGCCTGAGCACTTTGGGTGAGTTAGCCAAACATCCAGGGCCACACTGAGTGTCAGGACTCTCTGTATGTGTGGACATGACTGTGTTCCTGTGGCATTTAAATTCCCCCACCTTGCCAAGGAGTTTTGACTTCTGTAGGAGCATAAGAAATATGTGTTGGTTGATGGCTTTTACAGATGAAGAAACTAAGGCAATCAGAGCTTAAGTAATTTGCCTTTGGTCACATAGCTAGTAAGCATCTGAGATGGGATTCAAGCCCAGATCTTAGTCCAGTACTTCGTCCTCTGTACTGTGAAATGTGTGTGTCTTCTCCATGAGGACCAATTTGGCTAAACAGGTAGACGTTCATCATTGGGAGTTCAGCCATGAGGCAATGAAACATTTTGGCCAAAGCCACCTGCTTTGGATGATTGAAGTGAAAATGATATGGGTGAATGAAACCATGAAATGGGGCCATTGATTCATCATCTACCCCAAATCTACAGGAAACCACACTTCATGGGACATTTGTTCCTCTTGCATTGATCCTAAGGAGAGACCACTATGATAGTAGCATCTCCCATGCCAAGACTGACTGTAGAGATGAAGAAGCAGAGACATTCTATAAACACTTTTGTCATATTCCCCAGATATCATTCAGCCTATTCTTTGAATCTCTGTTACCTCATGAGAAAAACTGATCAAGAAACAGATCGTGAAACTATGGTGGGAAAAATGGTATGGGATGGGGGTCATCTGCATATGTATATGAGTAGGGCTTGTGATTGTATGGGAAAGAGAGAGCAGGTTGGATTGTATTGGGTCAGGTGTACTCCCTCACACACAATGTACTGTTTTAACACTAGCATTCTCCTGGTGATGTCTCCAGTAGATGAGAGGAATGCTATATTTGAATGATATAATTATTATTTAATTATATAATTAAATATAAATTATATATGTAATTTTATATATAAATATATTTATATAGTATTATATATTTTATAAATGTATAAAGTATTATTATGATTATATTATAATTTATTATATAATATATAAAATATATAATAAATATATAGTTAATTAGTCCAGACATTCTTAATTTGGGGTTCATGAGCTTTGTTACACACACACACACACACACACACACACACACACACACACACGTGTGTGTGTATAATAACTGCATTTTACTCTAAGGTTTCTTTTGTTATCCCATGCATTTTATCTTATGTATTTATTTATTTGTGTATTCTGAGAAGGGGTCCATAGTCTTTACCAAAAGGGTGCATGATGCAAACATGATTCAGGGCCACTGAACAAAATTTTTTAGCAAAACTTTTGCTAAAATATCTCATGCTGTTTTTGTTAGGATAATGGGGAGTTATAGATTAGATAGTAATACAGTAATATGGATTTGGGACTGGTTGGATGGCGGCACTCAAAGAGTAGTTCCACTTAAAAAAAAAAAGAGTAGTTCCAACTGTTCAATGTCAATGTAGCAAGAAGCTCCAGTAGAGTTGCTCTAGGGAGCTGTGTGCTTGGTCCTCTGCTGTTTAACATCTTTGTCTGGACATCAAGGGTACACTCATCAAGTTGGCAGATGATGCAAAGTTGGGTGGGAAAGCTACCATGCTGGATGACAGACACTCAACAAGCTAGAAGAATTAGGAAAAAAAAATCTTATATGATAAAACCCAATAGGATTAAATGTAAAATGTAATGATTTTACTGCAATATAATGATTTGAATGATGTGATGATTTTTGCACTTGGGTGCAAAAACATCAATATCATAGTCTCCAGTTAGTCAAAATTATTGGTGACTCAAAGGACAATTAAGAGATGATTGCTGAGAATAGTAAGCTGCAGCATATTAGCAATGATAATTCACATGCACAAAGTAACATGAAATATGTCTAGGAAAAGTAAGATTGGGAAATGCTGATCATATGGCGTGAGGTACTCATGTTTTATACTTTCACCCTCTACAACCTAGGAGAAGACCTCATTGGCTTTAGGTAGAGGGTTTATGGGCAAAAACTCACTGGTGAGAAGGTATGGAGGATTGTGTTCCTCCTGTTGGAGGAAGTCAAGATCATGGATCCGTTGTTGTATAAACTTCAAGATTAGAGGTGGGAAAAAGGCCAGTGTCATTTAGATAGCCCCAGGCATCAACATCATGAATACTTTTTTTTTTCAAGAAGATATGTTTAAGTCATCAGATATGAATACTAAATGACAGCAAAACTGACTATTTATCTGAAGTGAGTAAAGGCATAGACAACATCTTTATTGAAATTGCCAATGGCAAAATGATGTGTGGAATAGCTAAGACACTGAATTGTCATTCATTACCCCAAGGCTCTTGACAGTAGGCTACACTGTAAGGCTGAATATAATGATAGTTAAAGGAACTGGGGTATTTAGGCTGATGAAAAGAAGACTCCAGATGAAGTATTTGAACCCAAGATCTCTAACTCTAGCAATTTTTCCGTGACACTTGCTGCTATAATATCTCTATCTGAAGCCTGACCACTATCCTCTACTTGCTCCTAACTGAATTTATATTTAAAATTAATTTGATGGTATCTTCTGTGAAAAATTAACCTCCAACATCATAATAATGATGACAATGATAATGATGCTGATAGTAGTAATAATGATAACATTAGTAATATGGCTCATTAGTGTATGCTTTCTGAGGTTTTGGAGTTCTTGTGTTCCAAAGAAGGCAAGGTACCCTGTGTGCTTGGAAAGTGTGCTAAGACTCTCCATGACCCTGAGTCATCTGTGGACACCCTGCTTTCTCTTCAGGTTTCATTGACTTTATTGTGGAGCCCACCTTCACTGTGTTGACCGACATGACTGAAAAGATTGTATCTCCACTTATTGATGAACCCTCCCAACCTGGTGGGACTGGGCACAGGCGTTCAAGGTCAGTGATGGATTTTATGAGGCTCCGGGTGGGGACACTGACTTATGGCTAAAGCTGCGGATTTATTTCCTGCCATTGATAAGTGCCCACATTTTGATTTCTACAAATGCCTTGGAGGGGGAGAGGAGGGAGGTTTGTGTTTGTTGCTTCAATTTTTTTCCTTAAAACATGCAAAGTTGTAATGATCAGGTTCCCCCTCCCATCCCAATATTGTAAGGGAATGGAAGAGGGGAAGAGAGGGAGGGCAGTGAGAGACCCTTCGTCATATCCTCCAACCTATACCAGCCCCTGTCATCTTGCTTCCATGTATTTGGGCTTTATCATAGAGAAGAGAAAGGAGAAGAGAAGAGTTGAAGAAAAAGAAAGAGAGGAAAGGACAGGAAAGTAGGAAGGGAAGGCACAAGGGAATGTTGGAGGGGATTGTACCATCCACCTTCTCAGAAGCAGGTGAGCCAATTTAAAATTTCTGAGAGGAGAAGAGAAGCCTGTTTTTGCCCACCACTATTTCCTGTATATGTGCTGCAAATAATGGGTTTATATCATATTACCATTCCGTTAATTGGGCTCATTTGTTATTTGATAGGTTTTAGCATTTATAATATCTGTGGATGACCCACATAATGAACTTTAGTTTACCAAAAAGCTGTTTCTAAAATGTTTGTGTCCATTATATTGAGTTGCCATCCCTTTAACAGGTACATCATTTCGAGTAAAAAAAAAAAAGATGGGAAAAGCAGGGAATGTTGCATCAGGGATGGCCCCTCTCCTCCAAGCTGTTTGTACCTCCCTGCCTTCTAGCTCCAAAGATAATGAGATACAGATTGCCCAGGTCCATCATGGAGTCCAGACGTCAGAGTGAGGGAATATTCTCAGTCCTAGGGGACTAGGATGGAGCTGGGAGAAGAGAAGGATGAATAGCCAGTTAACATCACCAGCTGGATGCTATGAATGGGAAACGTTTGTCCACATGATGCTGAGATCACACAGCTGAGAGGAGAACTTTGGTACAAACATCAGTCCAGTTTATTCCAAATTAGAAATTATAGCAAAAAAAAATATAGACTAGAGGAGGTAAGGAGGATGGAAAGCTTCAAAAGTCCAAGTTGGAGAAGAGATACAGAATTGAGACTTTCTGGGACAGAGGAGGGAGTGGAAGTGTGTATGTATTAGACAATTTCTTATTTTCAAACTTTTCAGAATATATATCCAACTTTCTGAATTTGTTTTGGAAAACCAAGTGACCCTATGCTAAGACACTGTGTACAGCCACACCAGTGTATAAGCTATTCTTCCCTGAGGGAATAGCTCTTGGACAGTGAGTCCATCCGGAGTGGCTTAGCTGCAGACACTTCTAATGTTAACTTGCTGCTCTGTGTTATCTTGTCCATAGCTTGAATAGCATCAGCCCGTCAGATGCGAAGCGATCCAGCGTCCGGAGCACTGGGTCCGAAGGAAGTGCCTCGATCAACAATTCCGTCCTCACTGTGGACTATAAGGGTTTTAAAGCCACTTGGACCGAGGTGGTGCACATCAACCGGGAGAGATGGAGGGCCAAAATTCCAAAAGGTAACTGATCTCACTGGGACTATTCTAAGCACGATGCCCCCAAGACGACCTCAACCCCAACCAAATGTGACCCACTCTTTTAAAAAAAAATTTGACTGATGGTTTTGGTTTCGTGTCACCTACATTTTCCAGTGTATCTCTTCCTCCCTCCCAGAGTCATTCTTTATAATAAAATATAATAATTATATAATATTTATAATAGAATAAAATAAATAATATATAATATAATAAAAGGGGAAAAAAAACAAATCTAACCAATATATTTAAAAAGCTTGATGTTGCATGCAGTGTTCAACACCCATAGTTCCCCACTTCTGAAAAAAAAAAGCCAGGAGAGGTGTCCTTCCTGACCTCACTTCCTCCTTCCCCAAACCAAGGCTAGACTCTTTGCATGTCCTCTCTAGTTTGGTCTTTTGGTGCTTTTTACTCTGTTTTAATCCCTCAGCCTTGTATCTCCTCTTTAGAGCCAAGCTTGATCTTTATCTTTGCACAGCCTTTAGTTTTGCTTGCTTGCTTATACTTATTATTCCTATTTACTTTGTTATAACCACTAGCATGTTATTTTCCTGCTGCTGCTTACTTTACTTTGCATCAGTTTCATGCGCTTTCCTATGCTTCTCTGTAGCCATTACACACATCATTCCTTACAGCACAGTCATATTCCACTGTGTTCATGTACCACAGTTTGTTTTATCAGCAAGGCCCAATCTTTCTCTTTGCATATTTTTTTTCACTCATGTCAAAAGTTGTATTCTTGTCTTATAGGAGGATGCATAACTAGTATACATTAACACCAACGCTGAAAATGTAGTTGTCTTAGGATCTTTTCTTTTGTAAACATTAGACTCTACGTTGAGTTCATAATAGAGTGAGAGAAATATTCCCAGCCTCCCAGAGGATTAGGAATTGATTGGATACTTTGATGTCAGCTTGATGGGAGGTCTCCAGTGGAGGGCCACAGGGATCTGTGCTTGGCTCTGTGCTGTTTAATATTTTATTCATTTCAATGATACAGATAATGACATGGAATGCCCATCAACTGTGCGGATGACCCAAAACAAGGAGGGATGAATGACTCATTAGATGATAGAGTCAAGATTCTAAAACAGCTCTGGAGGTTATATGAATCATATAGATATTTGAAAGGCACTGGCTGTGATAAGCATTCTTTTTGAAGCCTAGATTCTCCATCAAAAGCTGATCTGACTTATCTGTCAGAAGATTGTTCTTACTTGTTTGCAATGCTTAGCAGGGTTATAGAGATTGTAGGGATAGGGTCTACGCATGTGGTATCATTTATGTGTAGAGAACTTCTACTAATGCAGGTTAGTGCCTTCTCTGAAACTCATAGATTTTAAGATTTCTTGGAGCACTGAGGAATAAGAGGCGGAAGGACTTGTCCAGGGTCAGATGGGCAGGATGTATCAGAGGCAAGACTACAATTCAGGTCTTCCTAGCTTTAAGACCAGTTCCCTATCCACTGCACTGCACTCTCTCATGAAATCATGGGGCTGTAAAATTAGTTTGAATGACAATGAAATTGAGGACAAAATTGTCAACTAGCGGACATTCTCTTTTACTTTGCCAATGGTCCAGTAGCCACTGGTGTTGCCCAGGGTCACATGGCTCAGGTCAGAGGTGGACTCTAAACTCTGGTTTCCTGACTCCAGGCCCAATGCTCTGTCCACAGCTCCATGAAAGAGGAACTGCCTGCCTCTGGAAGTAGTGAGCTCCCCTCATTAGAGATATTCAAGGAGAAGCTGAATAGTTACATGTTTAGGGTATTAACAAGGGCATTTCAAGAGGAGACTCCCTTTCAGATGTTGCACTTGAGAGATGAAGAGGTTCCTTCTGGGAAGGGACCTCAGAAACTAGCAAGTCCAATGCTCCCATTTTAAAGATGAGGAAACTGAAGTCTGGAGGAGAGAAGTGACTTGACAAAGTGTCACGGGTCATAGGATTATAGATTTAGATCTAGATGGGAGTTTGGAGCCCATCGAATCTAACTGTCTTATTTGTAAAGATCAGTCCTGAGGCAGAGAATGTCAGTGACTTCCTGAAAAAGTAGTTAAGTGTCTGAAGCTGTATTTAAGGCCAGATCCCCTATCCACTCTGCTCCATGCTAGCTCCCATAGCAATTTGAACTAGGATTTGAACTCAGGTCCTTTGACTCTAATGCATCATCTTTTTCCATTCAGTTCCTGATTCTGTGATCATTTCTTTGAGACACTCACTTCCTAGAGCACTCACTTTTAGGGCTTGGGGAGACCCAGGGGCCTTGTGGACACCGGGAATGATCTGGAGGAGGCAAAGTCCAGATTCCCTAACGTTCACCTTGAGTGCTTTTTCATGTTAGAGTTGAAGATGGTAAATATAATGAATATAGAATGAACTTCATGGATTGTTAAAAATTAATGAGTGCTGTGACTGGCAGGGCCCTTAATAATGATACCTTTTGTTTATCCTCTCCATTATGTGCTTCTTATAATTGGCTGGTGGGACAGAAGAGAAAGCCAAGAGGGAAGCAGAGGAGAAAGCCAAGCAGGAGGCCGAGGAGAACAAAAAGCAGATGGAAGCCAAAAGTCAGGCTGAAGAAGGTGCATCAGGCAAGCCTGAGAAGAAAAAGTCTGGAGAAGGGAAGAGCCAAGCGCATGGAGGGCGAGCCGACAAAAGTGAAACCCTTCCTGGGAAACCTCCTTCCAAAGCAGACAAATCTGGAGACAATAAACAGGCTCACGCGGGTGAGAACGAACATTCATTGGGCATTGCGGTTTCCTCTCTGAGGTTCTCAATGGCAAAACCTGTATTTTTATTGAAATTAGCCTACTTGGGGAGGAGGAGGGGTGTGTTGGGAAGCATCAGTGGTATTAATACAAGAGATGTCAGTAACAATTTCTTGTTTTTGTTTTGTTTTGGCTAGGCAGTGGGGTTCAGTGACTTGTCCAAGGTCACACAGCTAGTAGGTGTTATATGTCTGAGGCCAGATTTGAACTCACCTCCTCCTGAATCCAGGGCCGGTGTTGTATCCATTGCACCACCTAGCTGCCCCCTAACAATTTCTTTTTCTTTCTTTCTTTCTTTCTTTCTTTCTTTCTTTCTTTCTTTCTTTCTTTCTTTGGCAGTTAGTGTTGAGTGACTTGCTCAGGGTCACACAGCTAGTAAGTGTCAAGTGTTTGGTCTGAGGCAGGATTTGAACTCAGGTCCTCCTGACTTCAGGGCTGGTGCTCTATCCACTGTGCTACCTAGTTGCCCCCTAACAATTTCTTTAAAGAAGAAATTGATGTGCTTAGGAAAAAAAATTGCAAAGTTGACTACCTTTAGGAGCACAAATATTTGCTTCTGGGGAAAATAGAGGACTTTGGGGGGATGCTTTTTTCGTAGTCCATCAACAATTTTTCACGTAAAGGAAAAATTTGCCTTTTCTAACTATGAAATTACTTGACTGAGTATGCATGCCTGCTAGATTATGAACTCTAAGGAGGCAGGAACCGCGCTTTGCATAAGCAATTCAATAACTCTTGTCAAGTGCCTAGTGTGTCCAAGGCACTGGGCTAGGTGCTTTGGAAATAAAGAGAAAACTTTTAAACAACCCCCGCCCTCCATGGGATCACAGTCTATCGGGAGCTACGACACACACTCAGATTTCGAGCTGGGCAGTGCCTTAAAAGCCATCTTGTCCAATCTCTTGATCTCAGAGAAGAGCCACGTCCGTGCAGGTCACGGCTTAACTTCTTCCTACGAGTCCCTTCACTTGACTGGCTCCACTTCATCTTTCCACGTTTACTTGTACATAGTTGTTTGCGTGGCGTCTTGCCCCATCAGACCAGCAGCTCTTTGAGAGCAGGGACTGCTTTTGGCCTTTCTTTGTATCCCCAGCACTTAGCATGGTGTGGGCAGGTAGTAAGTATTTAGTAAATACTTGTCGATTGACTGTCTGAGTGACTTACCCAAAGTCACACAATCAGATAAGCATGGGCAGCATCATTTAGTTAGGGAGAAGAAGCAGCAACAGCTAGCAGGATCAGGGGAGTCTTCCACAGGAAGCGGTGCTTGAACTTGGCCTTGAAGGAAGCCAAGGATCTGAAGAGACAGAGCTGAGGAAGGAAGGCATCCCGAGAAGAGGATACAGTGTGTGCAAAGGCCCAGCGATGGGAGATGGGGTGCTGAGTTTGCAGCATAACAAGGAGGCCAATTTGGCTGAAAAGCAAAATGGGCAAAGGGGAGTCGAAGGACACAAACACAACTAGAAGCTTTGTTGAAATTGCAAGGTGGGAGATTTTGGCTCGATGGCTGGGTTTTTCTTTTTCTTCAGATTCCTCTGAACCGTTTCCATCCTGGACTTGAAATGGGTGAACAGTATATAATTCAACTGCTCCAGGCATTTGTAGTCTACACTGTATGTCCCCATTGTCCCCACAAACAGCAGGAGCAGGAAAAAGAAAAAGCAAAACTTGGCCAAGCAGGGTTATATTTCAAGGGAAAGAAACACTCATCTACACATCAAGAGCTGCTGAGAGTGCAATGGGCTGCTGGGCTGAGGGCGCTTCCCTCTTCAGAGGAGGCAGTAGAGCACAGGCTGGAATACCACTTAGTGGATATGTTGGAGTGAGGATTCGTTTGCAGGCGTGTGCTGGGAGTGGTAACCACTCAAGTCCATTCCAACTGAAATTCTGTGATTTTAATTTCTCTCTGTATGTCTCTTTTCTTCTGTTTGCTACTATACCAATATGCATAATAGTGTCTTATGGTATTAGAAATTTAAGAATGAATGAATGAATGAATGAATGAAATGCTAAGTTTTCTTTCCTGGCCATTATCTTATTTTTGCTTTGGAGAAAAGCAAGTCGTACTTATGGCTGTCACTGACTATTCAAAAACAAAGCAGCCTTCACATTATCGGCCTTTTAAGAAAAAATAAACTTCTAGGAAAACGTGACTGTTGTTTGGTCTTTTATAAGCTAGGAAAGCACTTTGTGAATCACTTTTGTTTGGTCCAGACAGTCAGAAGGTGCTATGTTCAGCAGACCTTGTAGAAACCAAGACAGCTCTTCTCAGCAAATGAAGAGAAATCTGTCCCAAAGTTTCGGGTCATAGTCATAGATATAGAACTGGAAGAAGCCTTGCAGGCCATCCAATCCAACTCTGCCATTTAACAGGTGAGGAAACTGACGCCCAGAGAGGTTGTGACCTTCCCAAGGTCACACAGTAGGCAGAAGCGGACTTGGAATTCAAACCCAGGGCCTCTGACTCTCTGTCCACATTGCATCCTGTCTGTGGCCTGGCACACAGCTTTACTAGCACTGGCTGGTTTGCTGTTGGTGGCCATGTGTGATTCTGTGGACTGTGCTGGTGTCACTGAATGTAATTTGCTCCTTGAGATTGAGTGTCCAATTGTTTTGAGAATTTCTAAGTCCAAGAAAGTAGCAGTAATGGCAGGTGAGGACTCCCCTCCAAACACTAACCCAGGGCTTTGGGTGAATTTCATGATCATTTTTCTCATTGATATTCTAAAAATAGATTCTGATTGAAAAGCATTGGGAAGAACAGCTATTTCCCTGCCCTTGCCATCTACCCCAAGAAGGACCCAAGTTGGTAGAAGAATTTACCCCAAGTTGGCTCAAAGAGTATAGCCCCCAGTGGTGGTCTCCCCTGCTCTAAGCCAACCATGTGATGACTGGCTCCCTCGTCTCCCAGCTGCCAACCTTTGCAACCTCTCTGTGTCTTCTCTGCTCCTTTCCCCTTTCCCTCCTATCTCAGAGGATGAGGTGACTTTCCTGTTTGCAGAAGATAGCCCCACCTCCAGGGCCCTTATGGGCAAGGGACTTTTTGTATTGGTTGTTTTGTTGTAGGTGAGAGATGTCCTGAATTTGTATTTAGGAAGGCACTTGGGGAAGGTGCCAGTAAAGAGAGGTTGATGCTGCCCCTGGGTACGTCATTTAGCCATTTTGGGCTTCCGTTTCTTCCTCTGCATAAAGTGTAGCTGGACTCAATGGCCTTAGAGGTCCTTTCCATTTCAAAATCCAGGATCCCCTTTATTCTTCTGCTAATGACAACCATGCCATAAGTTTCATTGCTGTCTTAAAGAAATGATATTTTCCCCAAGAATGTTTTAGATCAAAAGCTCAAGGAAATAATATTCTTACTTTCTTCTGGGAAAAGTTTATATTTTGAACATAACACTGTGATGAACAGGTTACTGACTTCATAAAAAGTATTCTTTCTTTTTGTTTTTTAAACTTTATTTGAAAAATTTTATTTGAATTATTTTCAGTTCTGAATTCTTTCCCTCCCTCTTGCTCCTTCCATACTCACTAAGAAGGCAAGAAATAACAATACCCATCATATAGAGGAAGTCATGTAAAGCATATTTCCACATTAGCTATGTTGCAAAAGGGGAGAAAGGCAAGAAAAACAAAGAAAGTGGAAGAAAACCTTTCCTGTGTGTTCTCAGAGCTCTTCAGCTCTCTCTCTGTGGAGGACAGCATTTCTCAGCACAGTCCTTTGGAATTGTTGCGGATGTGACAAACGTTCTCTTCATTGGCACGCAGACAGAGCCAGAGGTCATCTGAGACGCCAAACTGTTGATTTCTTTGGCACAACTTTATTCAAGGAAGAGAAGCAGCTTGGACAAGAGAGCTGGATTTGGCATTAGTGTATGGATGCCTGGGCTTGGATCTGTTACTCATTAGCTGTGTGACCTTAGGCAAATGCCTCTGCTTTTCTGGACCCCGATTTACTCATCTTCCACATGAGGGGGTTGGACTGGATGGTCTCCCAGGTCTTCTGTAGCTTGAAATCTATGATCTGGAGTCAACTTTCCTAATTCCCACACTGAACATAATATTCCTGAGCTTTCTTTTTTCTGCATTTCATCCTGGTTCTCCAATTTCAAATCAACTTGAGATTTAAAACAGAAAACTTAAGAATTAAGTCCAGAAAATTCCTATCCAGTTCCCTTGGTTTCTTCCTGGAGAACATGGGGTTGGACTTACTGTCATTAGGGAGAAGGCCCTGCACTCACAGAGGACCATTCCACCTATGCCTGGGGGACATGGCTGCTTTGGTGGGTGCTAGTTGGCAGAGACCCTTTTCCCTCCTTTCTCCTTCGTTTAGTAAGGAAAAAGCAGAGAGGAAGACTCCTGGCCTTTGGCAGAAGCATAAATCTGCTTTTGGGCCTCCCCTATAGTAGGGAAGTGAAAGAAGTATTCAATGTAGAGCCAGAGGAGATGGGTACAAATTCTACCTCTGCCACCTTGCCTAAGCCATCCTGGGTAAGTCACTTCCTTTCTCTGGGCCTCAGTAAAAAAAATAGGGGGAGAGTTGGGGAAGAGTTGAAGCAGAGGACTTCTCAGGTCCTGATCCAATTCTAAATCTGTGATCCTTTTTCAGACCATTTGAAGAAGGAATGCCATATGTAGCAAAACATGAGGCTGTGAAGTGCATATTTAAAAGCCAAAGTCTGACCTGTCTTTCATTATAGATGTTTGCCACAGGCCATCATTCCCCTAAAAAAAAATGTACACATTGAACGAGAGGTGGGGAAAGAAATCAATGTAGAGAAATGGTTGATATAGCCATTGTTGGCTTGGGACCATCATGCCTGGTGGTGTAATTAAAATGATTTATAACTATATGAAAAGACTATTTCAGATCCTTATGTTTACTCAATTACAGTTCATATGGTTATTACTCCACACGTACCCCTGAAGGAAATGATTTAATGTATTTTATTTAAGAAGGTTGGGGGGGGTAATAGTGGGAAGAGAAGCAAATTTGGAGCCAGAGGATCTTGGTTCAAATCCTGGCTCTGCTACTTCTTACCTCAGGCAAACCTCTTTGGATTTCAAATTCCCCATGTGTAGAAGGAGGGTATTGGATTAGATGGCCTTTAATGTCCCTGGCAGCTCAAAATCTGCAATGCTGTGAACATACAGTCAATCAACTCTCACAGGGATAACATTCCTTAAAAAAAACAGCCCAAAGTCAAAAACATGAATGCTGATACATTGAACCTATGGGAAATAGGGGGTCAGGTTCCCACAACCACCAAGAACTGTAATCTTTCTCTAGAGATTGCTGAAAATACACTTCTCTGTATACAATTCTTTAAAACAAAAATGTTAATTCCGATAATGTGCACTTTTCCTAACACTAACCATGAAATAACCCGTAAAATGCAATACATGAAATAAAATTGGTAACATGCAAAACATTTTTCTCACTAGTAATTCCCTAGAATTCTGTCACCTTTTGTGCTAACATCTCAATAAAATTTCAGACAATATTCACTTTTCATAACACGTGGAATCTATAGTAATATCTATAAATATTGCACAGCAAATAAAATTCTTAAAACTAAAACTTTTTTTTAATCCGAATCTTACCTGCCACTGTGTTAGATGGTGGTGTGAAGGTGTTATACTGTAGATAGTGAATCATTGCTTCATTGCCATCAAATTCATGGCTAACAGCAGCTGCAGACATTCTAGCCTGAAGTGTATCTAACCCCTTTATTTTCTTGCTAAGCCACATCACTGACTTTGCACACTTGGATTTAGACTTGCACTATACTTTGGGGGCATCATTGCGTTGTAAAACTTGAGTTTTAAAGGCAAACAATGAAAACATGCAACGAATGCACAGGGGAGCTTTTTGCGATGGTAAGGTGAATAAGATCCGAGAAACACCTAGTAGGACGCTCGCTGCTGAACAAATTTGCATGCCTTGCGCCTCTCATTTTTTTCTCTGTGGAGTATACCCCCCAATGTGCACAGTTTGCCAGTTTGAAAGTGAAAATGAGGTTACTAATAAAATCATATGAACGCCTCGAGTCATGAAAGTTAAGTGCATGATTGTTGAGGCCTGACTGCATCACGAAGTCCTATGCCACTCTTCTAGTGAGTTCATTTTAGCCTTTCTGGTTGAATTTCAAAGATCATCACTGGGGGACAAAGCCAAGCCTAGTTCACCTCCAGCTGCTGGGACATACACAGATCCCCACGGACTGAAGGGGACTAGGTATTGACATGCTCGGCATCCAAGAGCCTCTTTGTTACTCTGTTGTGGAGGATGGCCCTTTAAAGTTGGTGAAAGAAATCTTACTCCTTGATGACCATCAGTCCGAGGGCAGGATCTTATTGATGTTATGTCTAAGTGTTGCTTTGCATTCAGAAGGTTTGGCATCAAATTCTGGCCTTGCTACTTACAAACTAAGTGACCTTGAGAAGTCACCCAACCTCACTGCACTTCAGGCTCTTCCTGAGGCCAGATTACATGATCCCAAAGGTCCCTCTCAACTCCAGAGCTATGAGCCTATGTTAATGGAAGAAGAGGAGTCATTTTCAAACATTTAGACTGAAGGAACTAGATTTATCTGAAACATTAGGATAAAAGTGTAATTTTGTTAAAATAAGAAATATTTTATTGGGCCTAATCAATGAGTTTTATTCATTAAATCTCTGGATATTCACTCAAATTCTAACTGGCAACAGATTGAGCGGCAAAAGGTATTTATTCTCAGACAAGCCACTTACTCCACATGACTTTGAAGCGATACTCCAGTATTTCAATAGGTCCAATGTGGGTCCAGTTTCCAGTAACGTGCAGCCAGTGGTGTATGCTGGTAAATATTTAACAACCTGCTCTCCAAAGGAACGTGTACAGCATAACACACTTTAAAATTTTATCTGCATTATTAACATTTTCTTCATTTTTTCTTAAGAGTAATTTTCTTTCACATCTTTTTTAAGTCTAAACAATCAACAAAACAACAAATGAAGCCACAGTTTGTATTGTTTACCAGTTTTCAAAGTGTAAATGCTCACACTGAAAAATTTAACTTTTTGTTTACATAAGCCAGTTTGAACTGACTCCAGCATACCCCTGTCTGTGTCACAATCTACCCAGGCCTTCTCATCCTCTGCTACTCTTGTCTGTGTCTTTCCACAAATTTGCCTCAGAGAATTCGCTAACATGTTGGGCTCTTCATCAGTTTCTCCAACTTTACCTTGCCTGGAACCAATCAGCCATGGCCCTTCTTGGCAATTTCTTGGCAACTCCCTCCCATCCCTTTCCAACTCTGCTTCCCCTTCAAATGCTGTTGTCCCCTGTTAGATATCAACTTCTTGAGGGTCAAGAACGTCTTTCTTGATTGTTTCGTGCCCCCTGTACTTAGCACGGTGATGGGCACATATTAAGTGCTTGATAAATGCTATTTCACTTATTCATTGCAAAAATACAAGAAAACGTAATGATCCATCCATTGGTTCATATTCTCTCTGTCTCTCTCTGTCTCTCTGTCTCTCTCTCTCACACACATACACACACACACACACACACACACACAAACATTCTCTGGCCTATCTTTTCCATCTGTTTCTTTGATGACATCCATTCTGTCACTTCTTCTGCACAGTTCCTCATTTGTAATGTGTTTCTGCCTGTTCTCATTCCCTACCCCCACCCTGGTGGGTCTAGTGTGATTTCTAACTCCTTCCTTAGCAACCTGTTTATACTGCTGATTCTGTCACTTTCAGGTGATGAGAAGAACAAGACAGACAAGAAGGATCAGTCCAACGTTGGCAACGATTCCAAGAAAACAGATGGTAAGAATCCAATTCCCATTATTATTTCTCATAAAAGAGGCCAAACTTGTTAGAATTTTAGCTAATTTGGAAATAAGGATATGTCATATATTTATATATTCATCCTTGGAAAAAGGTAGTCTTTGCTATGGTTGGTAAAGCTATTGCCTTCTAAAGAAAAGAATTGATGAATTACAATTTCCTTGACTGTCACCTCCCCCTCAAAGGTCTGAATTAATCCTCTTTTTAGCCACTTTGCAAATGAATATTAGGAATGAAATTAAGATTGAGGATGATTAGTGCCACTGATTGGTTAATAGGCAGTAACAAATGCCATATACCATACCATAATATGCTGTACTACAATGTGTATATAGTACATACTACGAAAATCTGTATACAAAAACATGCACGCACACCTATATTCCACAGTGAGTGGTTAGGGTACGTGCTCAGTGACCCTCACTTTGACACAAAATCCTACCAGTAAATGCCATCACTGATAAGTTATCAGGGAGCCCCAAGGAACTGAGAACACAAACTACTGTCTGTAAGTTCAGTCCAACATTCTGCATACCACTGAGAGCACAGTACCATCTCTTCCCAAATCAATATTATGTTATTCCCTGTAAATTTTTCATGGGAAATTGATTTTCACCTCCAAAAGTCAAATCACTCTCTGAAAAACCTGAATTTTGAAATTAATTGACAATCCAACATTAGTTTTTTGGGTCTAATATATATAAGATTAGAGTTAGAACCCTAACCCCAAAGCTGTCTCACTGAATATATATTTCATACTTTATTAGTGCCTGACATTTGTCTGTACATGACATAAAAGCATAAAATATTAGGGTTTCTAGTGACTGCCTTAGGTTGAATACCCTATTTTAATTCAATATTTTTATAGTCCCTATGGTTCAGCAACAGTCAACAGATGCTGAACTATTCCCTTAATGCCTGTTGTTAGAAAAAACTTTCAAGGACAAAGCCTAATTAGTAGCATGGTTGTCAAGGGAGAAGAAATCTGAAACTGACCTGAGAAGCTTATTTTAATGAGATCAACCACTTTAGCTTTTAGCACCAATCCATGATGATGGCACGAATGCATTCCTTTCATAGTTTTTCATCTAGGGCCATTTTGAAATCCATTTCACCAGCTTTGTTAGAAAATACTTCTGTGACACCCGCATCTAGCTCTGTACCTACATGTTAATGTGAATGGAACTGCTTTTCAAATGAGTGTGCTTCCCTTGATTTTTTGTAACCAAGAACTGAGTTACACAAAGGTGAGAGAGAGTTCTACACAGCCAATGCTCTGTATTCTTGAGGTCTTTGCAATGATGGTACCTTTCTCTATATAAAGTGATTATGGTATCAAAGAAACACATGATCTGAGATCTGCAAGGAATCTTAGAGCCCATCATGCCCAATCTATACCCTAACAAGAATCCCTCTTTCAATATTCTCCAAAAGTAGTCATCCAGCCTTCCACTGAAGGCCTCCATTCTCTTTTTGGAAAATTGTTAGCAATTCTTTCCTTACATCAAAATGAAATTCATCTTTTTGAAGCTGTCCATCCATTGCTCCCACTTCCACCTTCTGGGGCCAAAAAGAACAAGTCTCTTCCTCATGACAGTCCTTAAAATACATGAAGATGGAATTTGTATACCACCTAAGGCTCCTCTTCTTCGTCTGCCTTATCTGATATAGCATAATCTCAAAACTCTTTACCATTCTAGATTTCCAACAGATAGCCAGAACTATTATCTTTTAATATAACATTCTGGTGGCAGGCTTCTCTGAAATTCTTAGTCTGGCCCTTGTGAAATGAAATCACCCAAGCAATATTTGAAGCCTTTCCAGTTTGATATGACGTATCTCAGCATGCAGTCCACTAGCGTAGGCTTCCAGCACCTGCCAGCCAAGATGAGGCATGAGAATGGGTCTTTAATGGAGACCTAGACAGGATGAAAATAGTGGGTTCATAGGTATATTGATATTGAGCTAGAGAAGACCTTAGAAACCACCCAGCCCAATGTTTTCATATAAAGGACGAAACCAAAGGGCAGAAAAGATAAGTGACTTATTTATAAATTAATATTTCAAATAAAAATTAATATTCTTTTGCATACCAAGAGGTGACAATAAACATATTTTATGCTCTAGTACTTCTCTGAGAATCATCAAATTCCAGTTTTCCCATTAATATCCAAAGGCAGTATCTGTGAATAATTCCATTCTATATATTATTTAACACCTTTAAAAACATCCAATCCCAGGATTATGTGCATTCAAAGATTATTCTAGCAGAAAAGGATAGCCCCCAAATACTTAAGTCCTACAGATGCAAAAAGAAGCATATTTTATAGATTCAATAATTCAGTTCAATAATTGATTCAATGATTATTTGAGTTAAATTATATGCTTTGGTGCACTGGTTTCTGTAGTCACTTTTGTGCCATTTAATGTGAGCCAAGGCACTAAATCTCTCTCAAATTCACCCGAGGAGATCTGAAACTTTCTTCTTGTTGATGCCTCAAATAATCCTTTCTAATACCAGGAATGGTCCACCAGTTCTCCTACACACCTACTCAGCACTGTTTGTGACCATATAACTTAAAGGCCAGAGCCTCATTCTGCCCTAGGAAGCTGGTGCAAACCTGACAAGCTCTGCTTGAACTCAAGAGGAAAACATCCGCATCTCCTTTGTATCTCATGATTTGTTAAAAATTGACTCAATCAGTAAGGCCCTGGAGCAGTACGTCTAATGGTAGCCATCTCTAGGATGGATGGGGAGAAGGGGAGGAAAAAAAGGAAAAAAAGAAATTTACATGATGATTTTGTTGTATATTGGGGGGGGTAGCAAGTTGTACATAGTAGATTTGCAGTTTCATATGCAATCATCTTTTTATTGTACTATGTTATGGAAATGCTTGTTTTATTCCATAAACTAAAAATAAATAGAACATGAAAAAAAAGAAAAGAAACTATATTTGCAAATATTCTAACTACCTTGGGCAGCTCCATTCCAAACAAACTCCATAGTCTTACCATAGAGGCCCCTAGAAGAAGGAATTAGAGAGGAGGGAGAGAAAGAAGAAAAAGAAGAGGAGACAATTTGTAAGAAAGAATTAGAAATATTAATAACAAGACTTCCAGACAATTACAAATGTAAACAGATGGGGGCAGCTAAGTGGCACAGTGGATAGAGCACCGGCCCTGGATTCAGGAGTACCTGAGTTCAAATCCAGCCTCAGATACATAACACTAGCTGTGTGACACTGGGGAAGTCACTTAACCCCATTGCCTAGCCAAAAAAAATATGTAAACAAAGGCTATTGGGAAATATCTCCAAACTACACACACACACACACACACACACACACACACACACACACACACACACAGATCCTATGACCAAAACAGCTCTGTCTGTACTCTAATGAGTGCTATGGAATTGTAGTGTACGAACAATTCTTCTTGAGTGTCAATGGACATGCTAGGTGTTTCCACTTTTAAAAAGGCAACATGTTATTCTAAATACTGAATTCCAAGACAGGTCTTAACTTCTCAGGTCTCAGTTTCCTTATTTGTAAAATTAAGGTATCAGTTTTGATGACTTCCAAGGCCCCTCCCAGCCCCAAACCTAATCTCTAATTCTAAGTGTGCTGTGAACATACTTTGAAATATTCCCTTCTATCCATCTTGTACTCTTCTTGGCCTGCCTCACTGGTATCTGCTATTTAGCTAGAGTGGTGGAGGTGAGAGTGAAGGGGCCTTAGAAGTCATTTACTCCAACCCTCTCATTTACAGAGGAAGAAAATGAAGCCCAGAGAGCTTAAGTACTTTTCCCAATGTCACACAGCTAGTAAAAGGAAAACCATGATCCAACCACAGCCCATCTGGCTTTAAAGCCAGCAGTCTTTCCACCCTCAGGCTGAAGCTTTTTGGCATCAGTTTTAGCCTCAATTTCCTCCTAAATCATGGGAGATCATTCCACTTAACTGCTTGATATTGTCCCTTGTTTATGACATCAGAGTGTCAGCTACAAAGTGACTGAACTGTGGCACCTCGTACAATCTTGATTTGATGTGGCCTTTGGTACAAGGTTCAATGTTTATGCTGGGTCTATCATGACCTGTAGTGATCCTAGCCCCTACCTTATCTATCCCTGGTTGGCAGTCTTTCTAAGACTCACCAAGGAATGAGATAAATGAATGAGACTATTTTATGCCAGCAAAATTAATTTAGAAAATTATATTGATGACTTAGAGACAATTTCCCTTGATCTACTTAAACAGCCCTAAAACTTTACATATTAGGCACCTGTATTGGTCCACTGACTGTTCCACATGCTGAATTAAATCATTCATTTTTTTTATTTGTTACAATTTGCTTAGAAAGATCCAGCCTAAACATGAGAGCTCAATTCCTGAATAAACAAGTAATTTATTCCTACTGTTTATGATCCTTTTCTGAGCTCTGTCCACAATGGCTGGAAGAGTGGGGAACTGGGACTGCTTTTCAGTTATTTTTTTCCTGAAAAAACCCACTGTTGAGGGAAAGGTTGTCTACACTAGCTTAGTTCACCTATCTATTCATCCGTTTTCTGAGGAAGCTAGAGCCAGAATCCTGCTATAAGACTTCTGGCATCTCCTTGGGAACTAAGAAATTCTCTTTTTCTCTCATCTGCCTATTACGAAGTAGACAAATGATAGTGATGGAGATAGGAGCAGGGAGTTGTTAGAATTCTTCATGATCCTGGTATAGCACCTAATAGCACATAGTAGGTGCTTAACAAGTTCTTGTTGATTGATTGATTCCTCCTTTATTTCACTGATTGCCTAGGTTTCTAATAAGGATCCAGGAAAGAGTAAATGTGAATGAGCTCATTAGAGAGACAAGACTGGAGGCTTGTCTTGTCAATCTAATTGAAAAATATCCAAACCATTGAAATTGGCTAATGGATGGCAACTGGGCATCTTAATGCAGGTGAATGTCTGCTTCACTCTGTGGTG